TGGATTTTAGAAAAACATTTCTAAGTGCTTCTTGTAAGAAGAACATATCTGGTATTTCATCTAAAAAGCACTTAAAGTGCTTTTGGAACCCAAAATCAATTTCACAAAAAACGCTTTCAGTCATTTTAAAAGTATTTCCAAACGAGTCATAAATATTTAAGACTATGAAAATTTTGGCTAGCGATGTCGGAGAAGCATTTACATCATTTCAAGTCAAATTTGACTGCACTACAAATTCAGGAACTGAATATGCGATTGTAAATGTGTGTGTGTTCGCATGTGGCATGCCTATCAAGCATTTTCAAGAAAAAAATGTCCACATTTGAAAGCATGTGCTTGAGTACAGGTATTCGTACGAAGCATTTTCCTTTTGGTCTCAGACATCATGGCTTTTTAGTTTTTACCCAACTCCTTCTGTTCTTCTCCTTCCCGATATTATTGCCTTGAATCTTGCTCAGGAAACGTATTCAAAGGGTTTTATGAATATAACTTGCAAAATTGCAAGGTTTTTATTTTTATTGTTGGGTTGAATAATCTTTATATTCTTTTTACATGTACAAAGTATTAATTAGTTGTTCTACCTACTTGTAACTAATATTCTCATACATGTATTTACTTAAATATAATTCATAAAGAGTGATTGACCAAAAAAAGATAATAATCAGGTACAGTATTCTATGTACTCACTTTCTGATTTGATCTAAAAAACATATCATGTGTTCCTTATTTTTTTTTTAAACAAGAAACAAATTAAAACATGTCCATTTATTTTTAAAACAATAAAACATGCTTTAAAATATCATTAGACACAACCAAAAGGTAAATGCTCACGTACGAGTACCCAAGTATTAACCACCCAAAAATCATAAAAAGGGACAAGTTAGTGGTTTTGACAAGGCAATCCAGCCTTCTGGGGACCAGGAAAACTCACAAAGTCATTTCAACATCCCCCTAACCACCATCATGTGATTTACCATAACCAAAAACCGAACTCAAAGCGTGCTGTGCGAAATACAGATTTGAAATTCATCTCCAACAATTGGACCACCATCTGATAGTTATGCAATGCTAAATTTGAATTGTCCCTTATAAGTAAATATTTGTTGCCCCAATTTTTCCCATTGCTGAAAAGACATAACAATTTCCAGTTTTAAAATAAATAAAAATTTCGGGATATGCATGCCGCATGTATTGAAGAAATTTTTGTTGAAGTCAGATATCGTAACCTAATAAATTCGCTCGTCTATTCATTGTTATCAAAGATTTTTTTTTTTTTTTTTGGTTGACAACAGGGCAAAAGTCCTAAGGAAAAAGAAATATTACATAAGAATATCATGAAGTCACGAGACTAATTTATATCTGTAACTAACAACCGACAATAAGAAAGATAAGCTTGCACAAAAAAGATAAGACCCAAACTACATGATAAACTCAAACAAACTAAATCATCAACAACAAAATTCTTTTCACGATAAATAGAATTTGTGGTCACACTAAAGAATTTCTACGTACAAAGTATCATTAATAAAGCATAAAAAAAGTGTTAAGATAATCTGGTTTTATTAAAAAATACAATCCGGACAATCTGATTCATTCATTCCCTAGGGATAAAAAGGACAGGACCAATCCAAGGCTTTCAACAAGTAGAACGCATGGTTTTTGCCTCTGTGCGTATTTATGTTATATATTCCCCAGAATCAATGATATCTGATCTTTTCATTAAAAAATGGCTTAAATTTTTTTTTTTAAAAATTAGGAATTCGTCTTTTTAATTAAAGAAAAAGGGTGGAAATATCAGACAAATGAGCAATCATGGACATCTCTCTCTCCTGTGGAAACAGCATGTTGGACCATCTATCATTTTATTTTTGACTGCTTGAATGAATGTTATAAACGTGAACGGCTCACCATCATCTGATGCATATCAAGACACTTTTGATATCACAAGATTTTCCCAGGCCACAAGGGTCTAGGTCTCACCCTTTGGGGACCCCACTCCTTCCACATATAGGAGGCTAACAAAATTTGTATGTGTGCTTAGTAGTTAGTACCCTAGATCTCCTCCCCCAAATAGAAATAACAGAAGCCAGAAACAAGGGCCATAGATAAATATATTTTAGAAAATTAGATTTTAATCTCTAAATTATATGAAGTTTAGAAAAATATCTTATATAAGACTAAAAATTGATTTTTAGTCCCTAGATTCTATTGAATGTCAGCATATGTATTTAATGTCTTTCTTTTTTATTTATAATTTTATGGTGTTCATAAATTACATTTTATGAAAATATTATAAATTTTAATTCTCATTATGGTGAGTATCTTATACAAGAAAATATTTTCGTAGAGATTTTTCGGTACATTTATGTTTTTGCATATTTTCTGATGTGCTACTAATTCACTACAATATATTTAGGTACGAACATTTCGGTACACTGAGTTAGTATAATATGTTTAAGTACGGACATTTAGGTACACTAGTTTAGTATAATATATTTAGGTACTGACATTTCGGTACACTAGTTTAGTATCGTATAGTTAGGTACGGAAATTTTTGTACACTTATGTTTTTTCATATTTTCTTATGTGCCACTAATTCACTACAGTATATTTAGATATTGACATTTCGGTACACTAAATTAGTAAAATATATTATGATACGGACGTTTAGGTACATTAATTAGAAGAAGTTAAATAAAATTAATGAATTAAAATGTGTATAATAATAAATTAAAAATTTAATGTAATGACATTAAATAAGATATCTATTAAATATTAAAACAAAAATATAATATAAATTTGAATTAAGTACACATTAAGGGACTAAAATCAATATCCAATCTAACACCAAATTTTTATTAAATTTTAATTTTCTTGAAGGATTAATGTAACATCCCACATCGCCCAGGGGAGTGATCCTTAAAATGTATATTTCCATCCCTACCTAGCACGAGACCTTTTGGGAACTCACTGGCTTCGGGTTCCGTAGGAACTTTGAAATTAAGCGAGAAAGGGGCTGGAGCACTCCCAGGATGGGTGACCCACTGTGAAGTTGCTCGTGAGTTCCCAGAAACAAAACCGTGAGGGCATGGTCGGGCCCAAAGCGGACAATATCGTGCTACGGTGGTGGAGCGGGCCCGGGAAGTGATCCACCCCGGGCCGGGATGTGACAATTAAAGTTCAAAAACATATTTTGCAAGCAGAAACATATGATTTCTTTTCGGATGAGGTAATTTATTTACCGGGTGGGTGCTTCCACCTCAAGTTTCCCCCATATTTTATTTATTTATTTATTTTTATAAAGTGATTTTTTGCATAAGTTGTAATTAGAAGGGGTGGTGGTGGTCCATCAAGTATACTGCTCATTTGCCTTGCATATCAAGCAACCTTCTAATACCTCTCTATCTCTCTGCAACATCCATGACCAAAGCATCATGATCAGCACTCCACAGCTCAAAACCCATGTGAGCACCTACATCTTTTTTTCTCTCTACTATATATTTCATTTTTGGATAATACTAAGGTCGTACCCAGTGCACAAGGCTCCCGCTTTACGCAGGGTCTGGGAGAGGTGAATGTCGGCTAGCCTTACCCCCATTTTATGGAGAGGCTGCTCCAAGTCTCGAACCCGAGACCTACCGCTCATGGGCGAAGGCACTTGCCATCGCACCAAGTGCGACCTCTTATGGATAATACTAAATGGACCAAATTTTAAATCAAAGTTACAAAATAAATTATATGTCACTAATAAGAAATAAACACGTTAATTAATATTTAAGTAATAATTCAATCGTCAACAACCACATAATTTAATTTAAAATTTTGGTTTCCCTAACGTTACCCTTTGTTTTTTTTTATTCTGTCATTGCCATGAAGAAATTTTTTGGCTCTAGTATGCCTCCTAAAAAACTGATAGGAATTATATGATTTTTTTTTTTTAAATCCAGGACTGTCAAATTCCTGATTTCGTCTTTGTCACTCAAAGTCTCTGATGACATATACGTTCAAGTATATCTCTAATTGTTTTTTCAACTTTATTGACATCCACCTTTTATGAAAATACCAACCATTATTTTATACATATACACACTTTTATTTTTTATAATACGAATAATTTTTTATATTAAATTTATCAAAACTACAGAGAAATATCGAATTTGAATCTGGAGAAAAAATAACAATGTTCGAGCAAATTTGACTAGGCATAAGCTTGCACAAACACACTTTTGTATAAATATATAGAACTATTGTACAATATATAAATATTGCAAGGATGGGTTCATTTGCTTTTGTATTTGTGCCTTGGTAACAGCTGTGGAGGCCGTTTCTTGCCTTTGCTTTTGTAGTCAAGGCTCTCTAGCTTTCTTTAACCAACTTGGTTTTCTCTCTCTTTCTATCCTCTTCTCTTCTCTTCTCTCTCTCTCTCTCTCTCTAAACCACCTAGGAAATAAGGCTTTAAATGCTTAAAGGTGGTATGTAGTACAGGGGTTTGAGGGCAACTTTTCCTTTTTTTTCTCACTGCCCCTTCAGTTAAAGTGGAGAAGGAAACTCTCATCTATCTCTCTCTCTCTCTGGTGTTTTCCATGGTTAAAGCACAGGTTTATAGCTCAATCTCTCGCTGTGACAGTTTCTTTTTCTCTGCCTAGCTTACCTCAGCTCCCTCTTCTTTGCTCCTCACCGATTTTCCTCAATCAAAATATCTGTATTTCTGTCTTAAGCTAGGTTTCATATTTCTCACGGGTTTTGCAAATGAATCTCTTTTTTTCTCATATTAATTGATTCAGCAAAGGGAATAAACTTTATAATCGTTCAAAACTTGTTTTTGATATTTTGCTTTCTTTCTTCAGTAGCTTGATGAAGCTGTTCTTCTTGCTTGATATTTAGTTCGTCTTTCAATCTTCGATCAAATTCCCAGAATTAATCCACATATATATATATATATATATATATCGAATATATATTTTTCATTACCCTTTTTTATGAGTACCCTTTTGTGCATACAGTCATCACCAGATCTCAATCAAAGTTGTGTATGATTTGCGTATATAGAGAGAAAGCGGCTGGGATATGAGCAGCAGGCGTTTTTACAAGGATGACGAAAATTTCCCAGAAGACGGTATGTTGATGAGTTTGAGAGAAAGAAGACGATAGCATCTCTTTCGAAAAGAGCAATGAATAAGAGTACTTTGGGGTCCATCAGAAGTTCTGATCTCATTGATGCAAAGCTTGAAGAGCATCAGATGTGCGGATCCAAGCAGTGTCCCGGTTGTGGACACAAACTCGAAGGAAAGCCGGTACGAATAATCACATATTAATTCTTATAGCTTGGCACATGAAGAATTATGCTTCTTGCATAATATTGTTTGAAAGTAATTGTTTTAAATTTAGAGTACATTTTTTATGCTAATATAAAAAGGGTCCCTCGATCTTTATCTTTTACTTTAATGTATTTGTTCTCTTTTTTTCTTTTAATGGTATTTTTTTTAGTTCGAATTGTGTTAATGGAGTCAATTTACTGCAGGACTGGTTAGGTCTACCAGCAGGAGTGAAATTTGATCCAACAGACCAAGAACTAATTGAACACCTTGAAGCAAAGGTAGAAGCCAAAAACTCCAAGTCTCACCCTTTGATTGATGAATTCATCCCTACAATTGAAGGAGAAGATGGAATTTGTTACACCCATCCTGAAAAACTTCCAGGTAAAAGTATTTGAATATTAATCTCTCTCTCTCTGTCTCTCTGCGCCCCCCCCCCCCCAAAAAAAAAAAGAATTAGTGAAGTTTATGATTTGCAATTTGCAATTAGTTTGTTTCTTACCATACACTACTTCAGTTGATTATGACTTAATTTGAAAGAAGCTAAATATTGTGTCACATTTTGTCATACCTAAGTCAACCTAACTTGTTGATTTGGGATAATGTTAATTTCTTGATCACTTTATTTTCTTGCAATAGGGGTCACAAGAGATGGCTTGAGCAGGCACTTCTTCCATAGACCTTCAAAAGCCTACACAACTGGGACAAGAAAGAGAAGAAAAATCCAAACAGAATGTGACTTGCAAGGTGGGGAAACAAGATGGCACAAGACAGGCAAGACCAGGCCAGTCATGGTGAATGGAAAACAAAAAGGGTGCAAGAAAATTCTAGTCCTCTACACCAACTTTGGCAAAAACCGAAAACCCGAAAAGACGAATTGGGTGATGCACCAATACCATCTTGGGCAGCATGAGGAGGAGAAAGAAGGAGAGCTTGTGGTGTCAAAGATATTCTATCAGACTCAGCCAAGGCAATGCAACTGGTCTGATAGAGCGAGTGCAACTGGTGAAGGAAGCAGTGATATTGTGGCTACTAATAGCAGAAGAGATAGTGGGAGTGGGAGTTGTTCTTCTAAGGAAATATTACCTTCTCATCCTCATAGAGATCATGACCAAATAGCTGCAACAGCAGCAGCTGCGGTTGCAGCTGCTGCTCCAATCTCAAGCTACAGTGGCATTGACATTCATCAGTTGAAGTCAGATCACTTCAGCTTTGCCCCCTTCAGAAAAAGCTTTGATGAGGTAATAATTCTTTCATGTTCTCATATTTACATTTTGTTTTGTCAAAATCTCATATATACATTAGATTAATGCTTTCTACATCTTCAACTTCAAAACAATTAAATCAACGTTTATTAATTATTAAGATAAAAATTTTAACTAACGTTGTATTTACAAATCGTTTGTCAAGTTATATGTGATATAAAAATGTGATAAGACTAACATTATTCATTATTAAATCAAACACACTTACAAGTTTTTCATGCATGTAAATAGATTTTTTTCCAAAAAATTAATTAGCCATATATATACTATATATTAATAATAAAAATGTTTTCCATATGTTGTCATTTTCTTCATAACCCATTGCTTGCAATGGCATTACAAATTTCATGGGGCCACTCTTGATTACATTTCTCAGCTAATAAAAACTACTTCACCCACCAAAAGGGTCTATAGTTTGAAATTTTTTTGCTGCTAGACTAATAACACACACAAACAAATTAAAACAAAGAGAAAATTAATAAGAAAATGAAGTGAATAAAATGTGGTTGATATAAAAGAGACATGGTAGCGAATTTGTTCATGGAGGTGTCCATTTGCAGGTGGGGATAGGAGGAGAGGCTTCAACTGTAAGGGAAGGGCTGCCATCTGGCACGTGCGAAGAGATACGAGAGCACCACCAGAGATCAGTACCAGTACAGCCTCATCATCACCATCATCATCATATAAGCCATGAACTAGTATCTGATCATCACGAGCAGCAGCAGCAACATGAACATCAACAGCAGCAGCAACTGCATCATCATCAACAAATTGCAACAGCTGCAGCTTTCCACATCAGCCGCCCTTCACATCCCATTTCCACCATCATCTCTCCACCTCCTCTCCACCACACTTCCATCATTCTTGATCAGGATTCCTACTCCCGGTTGATGCTCCAAAACGAAAATTTCCAGGTAATCCATCAAACCCGGCCCATCTTCGTACTATCACAAAGTAACCCTAGCTAGCTAGCATATATAACTATACATAATGAAACAATAATTTTTACGTATGATTAATATTTGACCTAATCACTTTCTCACCCTACTCCAATATCACTTGAGTTAGAGCTCATCGCCTGTAAATTTGTTGATGTATTTATTCTAGTTGATGTATTTTTTCACCCTGTGTGTGCACCTAGCCACATGTCTACCCACTTGTGACTAGCGTATTTTTACAACACAGACTTTATAAACAAAACTATTCATATTTTTTATTATCATTATTTAAAAATTATATTTGCAAAAAATCAATTAAGTTATAATCATTTAGTCATACATTTAAATAAAATAAATAAATGATTAATTATAGTACGTTACCCGTTTTCAAAACTGTTTTGTCCTTAGTTTAATTTATGCCGCCAAACCTTAATTGAAAAAATTGTTCCTCAACCAAAAAATGAAAGGAAGTGGTGGAGAAAAGGAAAAGGCTGAGTCAATAACTCGGACTGAGTTGCACCTGCGAAGCCCGTTATCACGAGATATCTTTCGGTGTGTCTAGAATATGTAAAGTTACGCAATATATTATTATACAAGTGAAGGAAAGTTTTTTTTCAAATGTCCTTGTAATAACATATAACATATGTATTCATATACTATTTCGAATACATTGAAAAATTTCGTTATCACATGGCCAAACCCTAGCGTCTATGATATGCTGTACTGTACATGTGGCAGACCTGTCACTGTAGCTTTTAGTACTTGCAAACATGAAACTGTCTTTTCACTTTTTAATCCTTGAAGACAATATCATTAAGATGTGCACATATTTATTTAATTTCCTTTTGTTTTTTTGTTAGTTTGTGTTTTATATAATGCGTTTCTTTGTTATTCATAACTAAACAGGCGCAGCAACAGCAGCAACACCCCCACCACCAACAGCATCATAAAATGGGAGCTAGGTCTGCATCTGGTTTGGAGGAACTAATAATGGGCTGCACTTCCAGCAGTAGTGATATCAAAGAAGTGAGTACATATACCAACTTTTTGACTCTGAATTTCATGACCTTTGATTTGTCATCATACAAACTAATTACAAGATAAAAAGAAAGGAAAAGTAAGCATAGGATCATTAGAAAGAACCAAAAGCAACAAAAACCAATTTATTTAACTGTTAATTTAAATTAAAGATAGAGAGAAGCCAAAGCCTTTTTGCACCTATCTCTTTATCTTTTCTTTTTTTTGCCTTAGAATTTATATATATGTTTTTGGTGGTTTTATAATCCTCCCCCAAAAAGAAAAGACCATACAGAATATAATCTAAAGAAAAGACCATACAGAATATAATCTTTCTTGTGACCCGACTGTAAAGCCGTCATTATGTTGAATAATTTCAAACTGAAAAATCAAAACACAAAATTGCTATGGATGTCACCTTTGTTAACCCATTCTTTTATTCCTTAAATGAGGTAACAATATATAAATATTGTATTTAAATATTTATTTACATAGCAATGTACATTGTGAAAACGACCAGCCTTCAATTGGACTCAAATAGAAACTCTTTTTTTCGCTTTTAGAAAATAAAGGTAGTGATAGCCATGGCCTGTGTTTGGTTTTCTGTTAATTGTAATTATAGTTTTAGAGTTGTTGCAGAACTATGAGAAAATTAACTTTTTAGAAACCCTAATTAGTCCTAATAATTTATCTAAACGTGGCAAGCTTGCAATTGATTTTGTAACAGGAGTCATCGATGCCAAACCCTCAAGAGGCAGAGTGGATGAAGTACTCCTCCTTCTGGCCTGACCCTGACAACCCAGATCATCATGGGTAGAAGAGCACACAAAAATGAAATATAGTGATAGAGAGAGAACAATAAACTCACGGTCGTCATTGATCACAGTCACAGTCACAGACAACATCATTGTCATCAATCAGTCATCATTTGTATTTTGACACCACCATCGACTCCCTCATCAAGTTGCTTTTCAAACGTGAGAGGCCAAGAAGGTATAGCCATCCATGGTTTCGTTTGGTCACCAACTTTTTTCTTTCTTCTCTCTCTCTCTTGGCTTTCAACTGAACTAACTGAGCAAACGGTCCATGTTGGAAAGGAAAGAGAAAAGAGGAAAGGAAAAAAAGGAGGAGAGGAGAGGGAGGGAGGGAGGGAGGCAAGGAGGGAGGGGGGGGGGGGGGGAGCTAGTAAAAGGAAAAGGAAAGAAAGAAACGAACGAAAGGCTGCATACTGCAATCTCGTCTGAAAAAATAGAAGGAGAAATCAAGGACCATTATTATTCTCTTCATGCATGAAAATCATCACCATTGTCATTACTTAATATCATCTTTTATGGGTTATATTCTCTTATTATTATTTTATTTTTATTTTTTTTAAATGTTTGTATAATGTTTCTTTTTCTTGTTCTTTTACAGAGAAAAATACCATAGCGTTTGCGCCAATTAATGCAACTTATACTTTCTTAATTGTACTTTAACTTTGGTTATTAGCTTTGTTAGTAAAATACCGATAGAGGTTAATATTGTCTCCAAAGATAGAAATAAAAATGTGTTATTATATTAAGACAATGATCTCGTTTTTCAGAGTGATTTGCTTTTTGTCTACGTCTTTCAAGTTTCAATGTTATTGGAAATTAATACATAGAACCCAAAAAGAAAAAGGAGAAGCAAATTAAAGAAAAGTAAAAGACATAAGGAATTTGATTCTCAATGATGTCGTGAGATACAATGTAATTGTTTTACTCATATAATATATGGTAGAGCATATTTAGAACCCCTTTGACAACCATTTTAGTTTTCAGTTTTATATTTTTGTTAAATAAAATTGAGAACTTCTTTGGTTACCATGTCCAGTTCCCAAAAAAATGAAAATTGAAAAATCAATTCAAGTCAAATTTTGAAAACTCAAAATAGTCGCTTTCAATATTTTTATTGAAAATTGAAACATGAAATGATTATCAAATAAACCTTACGTACCTAAACCCTCCCTCCAACCTTTTAGTGTCATTTCAAATTAGTCTCAATTTTTTTAAATATTCCAAACAAATATCTAACCTACTGAAAATGTTAGCTCCAATTAATTATTTCATTAAACGTACATATGGCAACAATGAGTCCCACTTTGTAGCTTACTTGTAAAGTAAAAACTAATAAAATAACTTAATAAAAGACATGAAAATGAAAAAAATAAAATATAAATTAACAAATTCACATAAAATGAGAAAAAAAAAACTGAAGATCGGAAATATCAAGCCCCTGCCACTTCAAGCCCACCTACGACCATCGAAACCCTATCCCAACCTTTATGTTCAAAACCCACCAATTGGTTCAGCTTCCAATTCTTTTTTATGGTTGGTGAAGATGATGGTGGCCACATCATGGTAGTTCATAACGTTTTAGCAACCTTCATGACCTTCTTCTCAATGTTGGCAACTTGAGTTGTAGGTTGAAGTTGATGGTTGTGCATTGAGTTTGGAGTGATGACTTGATGGGGTGGTGGTGGCCGTTAGTGAAAGCTGTGAAGCGAATTCTGCGCATGGGTTCCAAATTATTCACTAGTGCGAAGAGATTACAATTGTCTTGAGTGCTTGCATTGCTCTAGAACCTAGATGTTTTCCCATTATGAAAAGGAAGTGTGCTTTCTATTTTTGTTAGGATAGAAACTTTACTCTGTTGGTTCCCCATGCCACCAATTAAGTGGATCCCTACTAAACTCGAAAAATTAATTAAGATAAAATAAATTGCAATAGATTTTATGTCACTTCTTGAAAGTGACAAATGAAATATCTCCAAATCTAAGTGGAGGTTGCATCCTAATTGATCTTCTTTTATGAAAACAATGATATCATTTTTGGTGGATTTTCGAAGTCGAAATGCATGGCTTTTATGCTTTTCTTAAAGGTCGTTTAGTGGTTTTTTCCTATTTTTGAACTACTCCACTAAAAAAGGAAGTGAAAATGGGGTTCAGCTAAAATAATTTTCTTATTTGAAATTAATTTGGAATCTTAGTATAATATATAGTAACATGAAGTTCACATTTTTAGTCGGTCTCTCCGTTCTTTAATTTGTTACTTGAAAGCCTTCTTTGTTGCTTTATTCTTTTCCAGATTCGAGCGTTTTCAGCAGTATTACAGAGTAAAGATATGCTTCTCCCTCTCTTAGCTAGAGAGAGAGAGAGAGAGAGAGAGAGAGAGAGAGAGAGAGAGTAACGTGCATGCGATCTTTATTTTCATGGGACGTGCATGAAAATTGAAATAAAGGTTAAAACAACATGGAGGGTAAGCAGCTTCATCGTAGTTTCTGAAGAGAACAAAGAGGGAAACCAAGAATGAAAGGACAAGAATAAACTTTTACTGTCAAAATGACCAACACCTCCTGATCGAATCCGTATTCCGAATTACCCTGATTATACAAATACAAAGGCTCTGAAATATATGTATTTGTTAAATTATATAAAGTTAGTTTATGAACTTGTAAATTGGCATGTCCTCTCTAGCTCGTATATTTATCGAAAACAAACTAAAAATACCCGGCAGCACATATATTCATACGAATATTGTCCCAATCTAGCTAGTACAATATATGTGTGTGTGTATATATAGTTTATGTGCTATTGTATCAGAATAACATCTGGGGGTATATGGCTATATGAGTTGCAGCTGGAATTCAGCACTGTGCTGTGTAGTGCTAGGGTTCGTTTATATATCAGTAAAAAAAACACACTAACAAAATGGACTATATGTGAATAGAAGGAAGTGTCTCTTTCCACATGCAAATATAAAAATGGAATAAAAAAAAAAAGGAAATACATGTATGCGTGTGTGTGTGTCTTGTTCAACATCAACCTCAAAAGGTGATATTCAATTCTTTCGCTTTGTGGAAGCTTTTGGATGCTTTAATCTTTTGGGTAGAGATAGATGGGTAAGAAACTGAGATTAGTATCTAATTATTGGAGTTTAATAAGCACTGGTAGGGTTAGCAGTAGCAAGTATATATATTGGTATTTCTTGTTGTATAGAGATTTGGTCCATAAAGAAGTTGCAGAAAGAATTATGGGTGGTAGGTAGTGCAAGGACGAATATCACAACATGGCCAAACTCACACTTTTTGGGATATATTCTTCAACAACCCACCACCTCTTTTGATTTGCTTTTCAGTTTTCATATAAAACACGCACACAGAGACACACATGTATATGGTCCACTACTGCGGCTAGGCTCATATATATCCTTATCATTTGGGGTCGATCTTCAAGACTATCTTTAGTATGGAGGGTTTGGTAAGCATATTGTGCATGGGTGCAGCTCTTAAGCAACTACATACTCTTTATATCTTGAGGATTTAATGACAACTTTTTATCGTAATTTTACCTTCGTTTTGTTTGATAAATACGGTATTGGGTAGGAAAATTGGAACTTTAACGAAAAGCTTCCGGTATTATTCATTTTAACGAAAAACCACATTTTTACACTAAAAAGTCAATTCTGGTAATATTCACTTTACCCTTTATTTTGTCCTTATCGTTAAAACTCAAAGTTTTCAAGTCATTTTCATTAATTTTCCTAGGAAAATTTGAATACAGAATAATCATCTTAACTACGTGAAGTACAATGCTCTAACTTTTTTTTCATATTAATTTATATATTAGGATAGCATTCCATCATGTTGTGAATATGGTATCATATATAAACAATACAAATATGGATATTAGAATTGTGATGAAAGGAGTAACAACACAAATATGGTTTGTTAATTTACGTAAAAGCTCTGCAACCATGTTGTAAATATGGTATCAGATATAAACACCAGACATTTGTGTGTGTATATATACCTATAGAAAAGCTACAGAAGCCGGCCGTGCCGGCTAAAGTTGCAAAGGAGCTTTCTTTGAAAAGCAAATGAGGGCCCAATTACATCACATCAGCTTAAGCTAGACAGGTTTTTATAAGTACATGAAGATTATATTCACATATCTTAAATTACTTCTTTCATATCCTCTTATTTTTTAATATTTTTCTATCAAATGCTAGTGGTGTGTAAAAAATATTAAAAATTAAAAAATTAAAAAGATTTGAAAGAAGTAATTTGAAATGTGTGAATAAGTATATACATATTCCATATGCAAGTTGTACGGACGAATTGGGTAGATGAAATGAGTGTCCTATTGGACAATTAACAGAATATGTAGGCCTTATCCATGTTTAAAAAACAATGTTCTAATAATAATAATAAAATAATTGTATATATGCTAGGATAGGGTTTGGATAAGAATGAGAAAAGAGTCACTACATATAAACTGCCAAACGTTGAGTGGTTATACGTATGTAAGACCATCGGTAAGGATAAATTTTTCAATGTATTTGGAACACAAGTTTGTACACATGTTATTTTATGAGTATCTTTTAATTTGTATAATAACATACAGTGTATCACTCAGTATTCTGGCACACTGAAAAAAATCTCTCGTATGCAAACAACGATTGGAAGGAAAACATGTACATGTAGTGGAAAAGAGTTCGAAATCAATCATATGCCTCTTTTGAAAGTTAAGCAACTAGCTAAAGAAGAGATGCATTAATATGTAGCATAAATTACAAACTGCAATGAAAAACGAACTAGTATATAATTCTAAGGGTATGTATGGAAGTGTATTTAGAATAAGTAATCCCTCCTAACAACGTTTGATAACAAAAGTTAAAAACCATTTTTGAATTTCCATATATCGTACTTCTTGGAAGCACTTGGAAGTTAAATTTTTTAACGTATCTATAACAGTATTGCTTATAAGCTGAAGTGCTTTTACATAAGTATTCCCAAAGATTTTGGTATTATTGGTTTGGAAATTTTTTGGTATGGGATCAGAATTTTGTTGGTTTGGGCACATACAAAATAGAGTATGGGGCCCTTGTTAGTGAAGAAGGGCTTTAATGGATGACTCTAATGGGCCTAGAATTGATAAATCACACAATAAATCACTACAAATTAACCCAAACAATCTATTAATAAAATGTAGCCGGACAGACAAGCCACTCATTCTGTGTAAAAAGACCAACATGGTCCAACTCTACAACTACAATAGTTGGCCATTGCATTCAAATAGAGGAAAATCTTAGGTTGAATGCAGGACCATATCATCCGTATGACACTTCTTATGACCAAGTAGAAGATAACTTTTGTAACCCATCTATGGCAAATTCTAGCTTCCTCAAAGACCACGTGGCATGCAGCCTTACTAACACGCCCCCTGTATTTGGTCCCACATACAAGTGATTGTTTTATTTTTGAACGGAACGCCATAGTAATAATGAACCTGTTTTGTGTAAATCATTCTCCGTATGTAAGTCATTCTCCATATACAGCCGGTCGGACAAAAGTTTGTCTCCATACCATAGTTTATGGCACCTCACCCTCCCAAAGACCTGCCGCCATTCAGAACATAGACATCAGCCGACGTATAACAGAGACAGAAACCTTCTAAAAATTTGCAGCCTCTTACACGGTTGACATAAGCAGCTAAAGCAAATAAAAATATAATCTACCCACAGCAACAAAGGTTAAAAAGCAAAATATTGGTCCTTTAAATGCAGTGCAGCAGCACTACATAGTGTGCCATGGGTACAAACTAGGAACACTAACACAGAAGAAAATGACAATAAAAAAGGAAGAAAAATTGATGCGCTGTAATGTACATGTAGAAGCTCCAATACATTCCTCAGCCATTGCCATAGTGCTATACAGTATACACAACCTTGAAGAAAGCTGCCGAAACCTTTTTTTTCGTTTTTCTTTGATTTCTTCATTTACCTTTCTCCCTCTCGTAAACATGATGCAGCCTGAAACACCGGCGCTTCATAAAACTTCTATTTATTCATGCTCTTCTCTACAAGCAAACAACGCTTGACACTTGCATGATGTGTGCGAGAGCTCAGCAAGCACGTGGTTCCGGCACAGGCAACTGCCTCGTGACTGGTCCACAATTTCCGGTGACTTTCAAGGATGCAAAAAGGAACGATAACCTAGCTATCATGGGGCTGGCTTTCACCATTTTAGAAACAATTGCCAACTGCTTACGAGCAGTGTCGTCGTAAGTTCCATGGTACCCTTCAAGATCAGCTTTGGTAATTAAAACTGCATCTCCTGAGGGAGAACATGCTGTGGTAGTTGGTCCGCATCTGCTGTATTCTTGAACAGCCTGCCAAGAAACAGCAAAAAATGGTGATTGAGGTTATGGGAATGGGAAATAATAAAACCAGTTGGCAACGATCAAATGTTTTAAATGATAGAAGATTGCAGATAATAACAAAATGCATAAATATAAGAGATAACTACAATACATACCTTCCATTGTGAGGGGGCTAGCAGCACACGAGGTCTTCTAGACCGAACATAGTCCAGGGCTGCAGATGGTATCATGTTCTTGTATTTCACCTACAGAAAGTAAATCAATTCAATCCTATGATGTCCTAAAGGTTGAAAAGGGGTCATCATCAGTAACTCTTCAGTTAACGCAACCAGCTAAATTTTGAAAGCAGGAGATTGTTACCAAATAGCAAAGCACGATAGTTGTGCTCCTTCCCCGACCAGCTTTACAGTGCACGTAAGTAGTTTCACCACACGATGCATTCTCTGTGTTCGGGAAACCAAGGTTACAGAATTAAGTTAACAACTCTACCAATGAAAGCTAATAAATTACAGACTAGCAAAATCTTGAAGTACAAAAGGATCACTTACTGTGAATGAATTCTACAGCTCTGTTGATATCAACAAATGAAGGGGCAAAAAGATAATCTCGCGTGGGGATTACTAGATGGTCAATTCCATGGGCCTGAAAACCATCAAACATCTTAAACGAATAAGTAGGATCCAAATAGACAAGATTTAAATGGATTTCACTCGTCTTATTGGGAGGATAATAAAGCTTCTGAAAACAAATAGAAACAATCATTCTAATTTCAAATCTTAATCTTTAGGTTCCTCTTCTCATATATTAAAAATTTAAAACACATAACGGTGAATTCAAACTTGCCCATTTTTAGATATTTTAAAAACATATTTCTGTTGGAGGAAAAAAAACTTGAAATAATGATATTGTTACTTATATTATCCAAAAACAAAAGCCAAGAACATATATATATATGCAGAGCAGTCACGCACACGATACAAGGATGTTGGAACCAAAGTTTCGTAAGGTTCATTGAGAGTGATCACACCACCAACACCCAGCCGCTTCAACTGGGGAACATCTTTGGGAAATGGAACCGCACCAAGCAGAACAAACTGAAAGAACAACACCACGTATCCATTAAACACCACAAAATGAGCAAAGAAATACATTCTACCCAAACAAGTACATCTCTCACAACAAAACCTAGATGATATTCATACATATGATATACTCGGCCTGTTCCAATACAATATTAGAAATTTAACCAGAGATGTTCAAATATGTATTATAGCAACAAGTACCCATTTAGTTTCCAACAAAAAAAAACGAGTACCTATTTCTGTCTAAAGTCCTGAAAACATGAAAATTTCAATTTCTTAATATTTATCCATCATTCAAATTCCAATTGATTGCCAAGAAAGTGAGAAAACTGACTCTAGGAAAACAATTAATCCCTATATGAAGCCACATATCTTCGATTGGAATCACAAAACAAAATTCTTACAAAATTGATAAATCCCAAAAACTAGTTTCCTCTCTCGAAACCAATTTTCCCAGAAACCAAACAAATCGTAGCTACATAACAAAAATAAAAAATAAAATCCGCAAAAAAAAATTTAAAAAAAAATCAAATTTTATACGCTTTCTAAGTCAACAAACAGAGGATTAACTAACCCAATTCAGAGAAGCAAATAAATTGACAAAATTCGAAAGAGAAAAACCTGGTCAACTTCGTCCCACCATCTGAACTCAGCCTCCATCTTGTTCCGAAGCACATTATACAACAGGGTCGGGTAAAAAAGGATCCGCGCACCGGCTCCAACAAGCGCTCTCTTGGCTTCGTCAACCCTAACTACCTGCCGCCCGGAAACGGCGTCGTTCCGAACGCCGCAATCCCCCTCCGCCTCCAACTCCTCGATCTTCATTCCGCACAGACAACAAATAACCCTAACCACCAGATCCCAATTTAATGAGAAAACACAAAAGGTAATCAAATCCCCAAAAGATTCCGGATTTCAAATTTCCGAATCCCTAATTTCGCAAATTGGGACATAAACTTCCGGAAAAAAAAAAAGACGAAAAAGAAATTTACATACTTGGGGATCAAGGAGCGGAATTGCCAAACACTGGCAAATTGGGGCCGATCCGGAAGGGAAATTAGGGTTTTTTTGGGGGTGGGAAAACGAAAATTAGGGGGAATAGAGAGGTGGGTTTCTAAATTTGGGGAGTTAGAGAGAGAGGGAGTGTGCACTGTTAACTTAGATGCCAAGCAATCGGATTTAGTGTGCGAATAATTTCTGGTAACTGAAATTGGAAATCTTTATATAGTCAAAATCTGGGAATGGAGGTTGTGGTGGTTATAATTGGGGCTGGCGTTTGAGTTTATTACGTTAAACCCCCTCAAGGTTTCGCGTCTGACGGAAACCTGTGGGTAATCTTAAAATGGACAAGTCTTGAAGTTTTAAACCGTCTTTAAAATATCGTTATCGGTGGAAATATTGATAGGTAAAAATTTGTGGAAATAATAATAGATGTATCGTATATCGATTGTCTTTGATAGAAATGATAGAAATTTGCTCAAAAACATGGAAATTTAAAAATATTGTTTAGGGAAGTCATATAAAATCACAACACACGTATGAATCAAGAATTAATGATTAGATACTTTGTAAACCACAAAAGTATGTGATATGTGAAAAGAAAATTATCCTTATAATGACAAGTAATAAATAAATAAAGCATTTCACTAGGAAGAATAAATTATACATAACTTAATTGAAATTTTTGTCATGAAAACAGCACAAGTTTTATTGAAATAAACTAATACTATAAAGAAAGAAATTAAAAAAATAAAGAATGCATAGGCTCATGGATATTTCTTGCAAACGTTTTGCAAATTGTCTGCAAACACTGGATTTTCCTGAAAATATAAAAAATATCGAGGAAATTGACTGATTTCCGGAAATATCCCTCCTTTCATATCTTTCCTAAATTTTTGGATATTTCCGTGAAAAATATCGAGAATATCTAGGATATTTCAAACACTGGTTGTAAGTTAAACACCATGGAGACCCAATTGTTAAGGACGAATTTTCAAGTTCGTATTTTGCACGACACATAATGGGGTGATTCTTGGCATTGGTGAATCACATGATGGCTAAAGGAAACTACAAAACCTCCATGAGTTTTTTATGTCACAAAAAGATGGACTACGGGAACAAAGTCACAAATTGCTCCTTTTTATAGAATAAACAAAGTAAAGGAAAAGAAAGGTTAATTTATAGCCCTTTGGTAGGAATAATAATTAGGGTTAATTTCAGTTTACTATCCTAAAGTTACTTGATTTTCAACATTTGATGCATTATGTTTTTTTCATCCCAGAGTGGTATCTAAAGTCATAATTTTGGGACACTTTCATACCTCCGTTAAGGTTGTTGTTAAATCAATCGTTAACTGGTGACGTGGTGCCCACGTAGACAATAATTGGGAGCCACGTGGATTAAACAAATTATAAATAATATAATAATAATTATTATAAATAATTAAAAAAAAAATCGTCTCCTACCTCATCCCATCCCCCGACCCTCATTCCCTCCCTTCCTTCTCTTATATGCACCCACCCAATCCTCCTCTCATTCCCTGCAAATCCACCCTTCCCCTTCCATCTTCAGTCGTGTGTCGTCAGAAGGAAGGGTGGATGTATGACGAGTCGAAGAGGAGATGAGAGGAGGGTTTGGTGGGTTGGTGCAGATGAGAAAATGGAGGGATAAGGGAGGAAGGGAAGGTCGACGGAGGTAGAAGACGACCAAATTTTTTTTTTTTAATTTTTAATTTCCATGTGGACCCCTTAATGACATGCAGCGCCAAGTCACTGTGAACATGAAATTCACGTCATCAGTTAACGGGAGACTTAACAACCAGAATAACGAATATATGAGACTGTCCTAAAATTAACACTTTAGGTATAACTCTGGGGCGAAAAAAAACTTTATGTACCAAATGTTGAAAATCATGAAACTTGAAGGTAGTAATCTGAGATTTACCCTAATAATTAATTAGATGCATGACCGTAGGAATAATAATTAATTAGATGCATGACCAAGAAAATTGTTAAGGAATTAGTAATATGTTTTTCTTTATTTGCTTAAGTTAATCTCGAAGTCAATTAAGCTTTTTTTTATTTTGATTTAATATCCTATGAGTAAAGAGTGTAACACGTATTTAGACGTCGATTTGCCTAATTGACTATGAGTTGCATTTCAAATAATCTTATAGTCAACGCTTGTAATTCAAATTGAAAAAGAAGCAATATTTCACTCCTTAAAAGTTTTTGTTAACCGTGTATAATGGTGTGGCATAAAATTTTAGAAAAATTATGTAGATTATTTTAATTTATTTTTGTGTTTATTTTAACTTTAAAATATTTAAATTCCGATAAATAATAAAATATTACACAACCTATCTGATTCTTAAACACAAGTTCATACACATATGCACCACATTACAGACAAAGTTGTTGGCGTTGAGTCCAAGCTACTGCAGTTCATTCGTGTGCGAGCAATTGGGGCGTGTCAATGGGTTACTGGTGGGCCAAAAATGGGCGCGTACACACGCACAAGTTGGGGCCTGCTTATCCCAGACTTCAACTGTGGGGATAATCTGGCCCGAAATCATTTTTTTCTCCCCAAAACTTATTTTAACCCAATTATTAGAAAAGTATTGAGGGAATTTAAAGCTTAAATCGTAAGGATGTGACAACCCGTCCCTAACTTTAAAATTTTATTAACTTTAAATGAGTGAATTGACAAAAATGCTTAGAGGTGAGATTGTTGACTTTTATTGGCCATCTCTTCGTGACATGTACAAGCTACTATTTTACCGTATTCTTGAAGTACTCAACGATACGAACACGTAGACGCAAACGGAACGTAATTTGGAGCTATAATAAATGAGTTATTAACAAACGAAGTAATGGGCGAAATGGTAATTTGACCATAATCTGGAAGTGCCACGTGGATGGCTGTGATGGAGAAAGGAAAGAGATGGATGGCTGGGATTGAAAAAAAAAAGGGATTGGGGGCTGCCCAATCAGAAATAAATGATGAAGTGGGAGGCCAATTAGAAGAAGAAAGAACATGAGGAAAAAAGAAGAAGAGAGGTTGGCCGAATCGAGAGAGGATAGAGGAAGGATAGTGACCAATGGAGAAAAAATGAAGGAGAGAAAGGAGAGGGGAAAAATGGGAGGAACCAGGAGAGGGGAACAACCAAGCCAAACCGGGTCATCCCTTGACCCGCGGCCCGACCTGGTGGTAGCCATGATTTTCGACACCTTTTTAGATGATTTCTCTGGCGATTAGAAGCCATACACCACCTGAAATTGACCTAGCACCCCTTCCTCTTCCAATTTCATCAAAACTGAGTTAAATTGGCCTTGAATTCATGATGAACTCACCAGCGAGTTCTTGGGGTGTACGGTTAAATTTTGCCATTTTTCAAGGTAGTACAGTCAACCACCACCATCAAACCACTTCTCGTGAGGTAAGGAACAAAGCCCAAACAACTATAGGGGCGGCGGAGCACCGGAGGTGATGGATTGAAGCCACCTATTTCTAGGGTTTCTGGCGAATTCGAGGGAAATTGGGATTTTTCCCGACCAAATTAGGCTTGGCCACATGTATGAAACTTGCTCCACTCATTGAAATCTACATTTCCGTGAAATTTGGTAAATTTTGGAAATAGTTGAACTTTCTAACGTGTTGGGGCGATTGGCTGCCGGGTGCGGCGGCGCATTGATCAAGACCCCACCTGACCATCCTAGGCTAATTTGATGCCCTGATTTTATAATTGACATCCGTTTAGTGAAATCCTGATGTTTTGAATATAGTTTCGTAATGGACCGCTTAGTTGGTCGCCACTTGGTTATTATATGAATGAACGATCTGACCGTTGGATCGGCATCAAACTTTAATGCATGATAGTACATAATATTTTTGGACATTAGGAACTTACGGATTGGGAATCCAACATACGAATCTTCCCTAATTGAATTTCTAAAGATTGTAAAATCCAACTTTGATCGCTATTTGAATTTGTGATTGGCGGAGATCCGACTGTTGGATCTTAAAGAAGTTTTAGTATGTTGTTCTAGAAGCAGAGTGTGGATTTTGGAAAGTTACAGATCGGAAATCCATAGGTGGATGTCCTAGATTGACTTGTGTAGGGTTTTGGACCCTCTTTAGCGTATTTCGACGCGTTGATTCCGAATTCGTCGTCCGTTTTCTGAAGTTCGACCGTTGTATGATAGTTCCTTTATTAGCCATATTTTGTACGAAAACGTGTAATTTCATTAGCACATTATCTTTACCTAAATGGTTTCGTTTCTAGGCGAAACGGATTGCAATAACTCTCGATGCTACGAGACGGGTTCGATTCGACGACATGATCTAAGTAGGTATTTTCTTTGATATATATATTGGTTAGTTTCCATATATACATTTATAAATAAATTCTCTACGTGATTGTCATGATTAAACTTACGTTTATAAGAATGCCTTATTGTTGGGAAATGATGAGATAATTCTACGGGATGCACATGTAAGCTTATTATAAGGGGATGCCTTAATTATATTTATGGTCATGAATAGTGTGATATTGACTAGCACCCGATATGATATTTTTGCTTATGTGAGATTATGTGTTATTGGTTGTTATATGTTCAATTACGCAATATTGCGACGTATGGCAATCTTGTGATTTTGTAGGCTACGGTAGGTATTTTCATACTATACGCAGTATGTATATTTTGGAAACTATACTTGTTTTACGGCGAGGGGTTACAATGTTTTCAGAAAGGTTTTTATAAAACTTTATTTTCAAGCCACTCACCCTTATTTTTCGCCCCCCTAGGTTTTAGTAGCTGAGCTTTCATATCAACGAGGATTCTTGGCAAATATTGGTGTAGACAAATCGATGGTATAATTAATTCTCACCCTATTTTACTGTACTGTACTTATGCTCTGACATCACATGTAAAATGGGTTCATTCCCGCTCACATAGCACTTTTATACTTAGGCACTTTTAGGTTTAAATTTACTCACATTTTCCACATCACTACACTTTATGGGTTCGTCACCTTCTAGGTATCGGCTAGCACAACTCGATTCGAAATCCTAGTGGACATTTCGAGTCGGGGTGTGTGAAAGGAAAACTAATGAAAATGACTTGAAAACTTTGAGTTTTAACAAAAATGGCAAAAGGTGTTGTAAGTGAATGATACCAGGATTGACTTTTTAGAGTAAAAGTGTGGCTTTTTTGTTAAAGTGAACAATACCTAGAGTGTTTGATTAAAACTCCCTAAATCGTAAGCCCAATCATTACATTTGGTCTCATATAATTTTTCTTAACTGAACTTCTTAGATTTCATAATGAGACAATTTCAAGGTAGGTATGCACTTCCAAATAGGGCAATAGAACAAAGACGGTAAATAGGAAGCTTCACCCAGAGAAGGATTATCTCCTCTCTTTTGCTCACTCCCATTCCTTTCTCTCCCATTTGAACGGTCACGGTTAAACCACGTCAACATCTTATATTATTATTTTTTTTTAGAAAAAGAAAGACAAAATAGAAAGTGTGAGAAGAAGGAATGGAAGAAGATAGAAAGAAGAGGGAAGATAACCCTAGTCCGCTTCAACCATGCATGAAGGGTAGCTAAGCTAGGTAGGGTTGCATCTCTTTAATACCAGAGTAGTTGGCCCCATTTCGCAGAGGTGATCAACACAAAATCCATTTTGTCTCCGGAGGTAAAAGAAAGTGAAGTCCTCATCTTCTGCCAGACGTCCGGCTATAGATCAGCACTCACAAAGCCATGGTTTTCGGATGCAATGGTAGGTGTCACATTAACTGCGTTCACATATGAAGGAGTCGCTTGTTCACATTTGGTATATCCTTCTGTCGACGTCTCAAATCGATATTGTGTTGTCATGTGAGGAAATTTGAAACATCGGCATAATGAGATTCTTCATTAGTGTCACTCCTGCTTCGATATTGTGTTGTCATGTGAGAACATTTGAAATACCAGCACAATGGGATTCTCATCCAATGTCACTCTTGGTTCGATATTGTGATGTCATGAATACCAGCACAATGGGATTCTCATCCAATGTCAGTCTTGGTTCGATATTGTGATGTCATGTGAGAACATTTGAAATACCGGCACAATAAGATTTCTATTAGTGTCACTCTTGCTTTGATATTGTGTTGTCATGTGATAAAATTTGAAATACTGGCACAATGAGATTCCCGTAATTGTCACTCCTGCTTCGATATTGTGCTTTCATGTGAGAAAATTTGAAATACCGGCATAATGGGATTCCCGTCAGTGTCACTCTTGCTTCAATATTGTGTTTTCATGTGAGAAAATTTGAAATACCGACACAATAGAATTCTCGTCGGTGTCACTTCTACTTCGATATTGTGCTATTATGTGAGAAATTTGAAATACTGGCACAATGGAATGCTCGTCAGTGTCACTCCTGCTTGGGAGAGTATGCCCGTGAGTGGTGTGAACTGGTGGTGGTGTGAAAAAGGGCAGCATATGGTTTGATTTTGTTGTGGATGAAAGTGACAAATATGTATGTGTGTGTAGTTGTTGGGTTGGGGGGTGTTTCTTTCTGGGTTCTGATGTGCCCCGATCCAACGTCACCCTTTTGGATTTATTTGTAAGATGAATATTTTAAAGTGGCAGCAGTTCCCATCTGTTCCCTATCTTCAAAACTACTGATTGAGTGACTAGTTTATTGCAATTTGGACTGGTTGCCGGTCAAGATTTTATTACTCTTTTTTCTTCTTTTTTTAATAAAAAAAACCAGTTGGTGACAATTCATTTTTTTAGGAAACTTGATCACTTATAAAGACATTTCAGCCTCCTCCTGATCACCATCATGACTCACTAACACCAAGAATCGAAAATACAGTCATAAAATTCGTCTCTAACCGTTGAGCAACTCTATGGTAATTGCTTGTCAACACTTTATTAATTAGTAAAAGAAACTAATACCAGATTATTCTGTTATGTATTAGGCCTACCCATGTTACATAAGCCCAGTCCAAATATTGGGGTAACAAAAAGTCTAAACTATCACAGTTTTGGGCCCTAAGATTCAATCTATCATTTCAGAGTCCAAATTGTTGGTTTTAATCTCAAAACACCTCTAAAAGATCCAAATCAAAAGACCCAAGTTCTGTTTTTTGAATTTTTTTTTTACAAGTGATGTTTTGAAGGGAGATTCGAACCCAAAACTTCTGAGTGCATAACTAGATGCTTGTAACCACACGTGAGCTACAAGTCCTGAACAATTGATTCTCAACATTCTTGAAATTCGACGTGAAAACAGAGTACCCATTGACGTCCTCCTCCTCCTCAAATAAATCTTGATTTCTTACCTAATATTCACATTCAGCCTTGATTCCTCCATTTTTAAATTTTTTTTATGTTGTTGGGTATCACAAATGAATAGAGAAAAGTTGGCGTTAAAATTCTTGTGGCCAAGATTAAAAAAAAAAAAAAAAAAAAAAACTAGTTTGCAGGGCTTCCACTTAGAGTGTGGCACATGAACTGTTTCTTTCTATGATTGGTAAACGAGGTTATGAATCCCTTTTGGTTTCACACTGCATGTTCTATGTATATACTGTACACCGATGCATATTGGATGTCAAGAGAAGCTCCGTTCGTTTCACAAAACAAGCAAATGATTTAAACCATCTCATATTTGGGATATACTCCGTTTAATTCTTGGATAATAGTTGTGGTGCTTGTATGCATTGGAAACACATCATAAGTTCTATTAATTTCCTATGAAAAAAAATCAAGTCTATAGTGGGTAACGTTTAGTATTTTGAGAGAAAAATTTGGGTACGTTTGTTTGACCATGTTATTTTGTATGACATTTTACCACAGTAGGAGATTTCTATATTTTAGTCTCATTCTTTAGGCACATAGAAAGAGTAAAATGAACAGAGGAAATGGTATTATTTGAATAATGAATCTGTTTATAATACAAGCCTACAATAGGTGATAATAGTCTAAAGTGTTTATTTCCTTGGACTATGATTCTCTCCTTTCCTTTTTCATCCCCTTTCAGTCCCTTCTCTCACATTTTCTTATTTAGTTTTTCTTTTGATATAAAAAAATTAATATAAGATGTTGACATAGCTTAACCGTGACCGTTCAAATAGGAGGAGAAGGAAGGGGAAGGGAAAAAAGAGGGAAGGGAATCCTACTCCTATTTCCTTCTCATCTTGCTTTCTCTCAATGATTAGGAATTTGGAATCTCTTCGAACCTTACTGTTTGGAGCTTAAATATCAGAAAATTCAGGCTCTTGGTTTATGTGAAAGAGATACCGAAGTTCTTGATTTGTAAGAGGCAGACCAACAAAATAAATTAATGAGGACCGTCAAATTTCATTTGAGCAGTTTAAATTGTGTGATCTTTGGACTCCAAACAGTGAGATGAAGAGAGATTCTCTGTCCAATGATTAGGACCTAAATCATATCATTATGCAAGCTCATACAGACTAATTTAGCCCTGCTCATTTATTTTGGTGAGTTTACTAATTGACCAACCTACTGACCAAAACAGCTCTATCACCTAAAGTAACTCACCAGCCTGTTATGTCACTATGAAAACCAAAACATTAAATAAAAATTAAAAAAAAGGTAAAACACTAATAAAAGGTAAATAAAACAAAAGTTTTGTGAACAATTTTATTGAATGAAAATGTCATTGTGACAATATCTTTGATCATGAGCACTATTATGTTACGGAGATACTAATGTAACAATGTCTTGAACATGAACACTTTCACGTGATAGAGAAATCACTATAGTTTAGGTCTGATAATTTTTTGCGTGACCCGTTAATTTGACACAAAAATAATAGGTATGGGTTAACCTGTTAACTATTATGGTCGTTATTGGGTTATCCGTTAAGAACCCGTTAAAGAGTCGGGTCGTTATCATGTTACCCGTTAAGAACCCATTAAGAATCGTTTGTCGGATTTAGACATTAGGTATGACAATTTCTTGCATATCCGTTAACCCGACACGACACGACCTATTAATGAATCAGGTCATTCTCAGATCATCTGTTAAGAACTCATTAGCATAACAGGTTTGACACGAAACGATCTATTAAGATAATAAATATAACACGAACACGACAAATACAACCCATTAGCAAATCTACTACAGTGATATCTGAAGACGAAGACGTATTTTACTCCAATTCAAGACCAAATAAACCCCACCAGTTTCTACTCTCTTCAATGCTGCAACCATATTTGGACAACTTTACAAGTACAACCAGCAAACAAGCATTATAGTGTTTTCTCCACTGAAAAAATGGAGAAATGGTGGTTTCTAGCACTTCTCCTACTGATTGCTAACCCCACAGAAGCTGGGTTTAATGTGGGCGGTGGAGTTGGTGTCAATGTCGGCCCTGTTGGCGGCGGCGGCGGTGTTTGGATTGGTGGAGGAATCAATGGAAATGGGAATCCCCCATTCTCATCTGGGTCTTCACCTTCAGGCCTCGACAGAGCTTTCACCGCCCTCCAGGCGTGGAAATCCGCCATCTCCGACGACCCATCAAAGGTTTTAGACTCATGGGCCGGCCCGAATGTGTGTTCTTACACAGGGGTTTTCTGCTCTCCGGATTCTCAAGAAGTTGCAGGCATAGATCTCAACCACGCCAATCTCAAGGGCAATCTCGTCCAAGAGCTCTCTTTTCTCTCTCAACTCTCTCTACTCCACCTCAACAGCAACAGATTCTCCGGCCAAATCCCCGAAAGTCTCCGAGACCTCACCGCCCTCCAAGAACTCGACCTCAGCAACAACAACTTCTCCGGCAGCTTCCCAACGGTCACATTACAAATTCCGAACCTCATCTACCTCGACCTCCGATTCAACAGCTTCTCCGGCACGATCCCGGACGAGCTCTTCAACCGGAAACTCGACGCCATCTTCCTCAACAACAACAATTTCGAAGGTCAAATCCCCGAAAGTTTAGGAAACTCCCAGGCCTCCGTCATCAATTTCGCAAACAACCAATTAAGCGGCAACCTCCCGGCCAGCTTCGGCTTCATGGGGACGAAGCTGAAAGAGGTTTTGTTCCTTAACAACCGGTTAACCGGCTGCATTCCCGAAGGAGTCGGGATCTTCACAGACATTAAGGTTTTCGACGCGAGCCATAATTCCCTGATGGGTCATCTCCCCGACACGATTTCTTGCCTGGAAGACATCGAAGTTCTGAACTTGGCGCACAACAATCTGTCGGGGGTGCTGCCGGACTTGGTCTGTTCGTTGAAAAGCCTGGTGAATCTGACCGTTGCTTACAATTTCTTTTCCGGGTTCAGTCAGGAATGTACGAAGTTATTCCACCGGAATGTGGGGTTTGATTTCTCCCTGAATTGCATTCCCGGGTGGAACATGCAGCGGCCGGACCCGGAATGCTCTCTGATTCCGGGCGGCGGGTTGAACTGCCTGAGAATTCCGGGGTCCAAGCCTCTGGTATGTGGGTCCCTCTACACATCGTCTTCTGCTTCTTCTCCATAAAAACAGGAGATTTCAGTCTTTTTGTACAACTTAATCTACTATTAATAGCAAATTATGACTCAAGCTTCCTGAATCCTACTCATTTTAATTTCTTTATTATTAACTCTGTTCATCTGGAATTATAATATCCAGAAATGCTTTTTAAAAAAGCAGATTATATGATTCGCTTTGTATTTCAATTAGAGAATTTTCAAAGTGCAATGTGCAATGTGTTATCGGTTCGGTATATTAAGTGTAATAGTGTAAATATTAGAAAGTTTTAATAAAAAAAGTCATCCAATTGTGTTATTTATGACATTTTCTGTACTGGACCGTGCACACGAGAATTCTCGAATTCAGTAATGGAAGAATCGTGAGCAGAATCAGTGAATTGTATAAAAAGTGGTTTGATTCTGTTTGTCATGTGACATTCTTATGGAAATTATGTGGTATTTTGTGGCACATTGGGATGTATGTGTTTATCGGCTTGTGTCACGTGACTTGTTCTCAACTTAGGTAATCTTGTTTTGGCATTCCCAATTAATTAAAAGCATTCGTCCTTATCAGTGGCTGTTGAACAAGCATATTTGCAAACTTGCATGATTCTTTTCTACCTAAAAGTAAAAGTAAAAGGTACTCCAACTCAACTAGGGAATAGTTTGAGAAGAATTTTAGAGGCTTAAACAAAGTGTTTTCTAACCGTCAATACGCTTTTAATCATGTTTAGATAGAAATTTTTTAAAGCGTTTATAGATTATAGAAGCGCTTTTTGAATAATAAACTTCCTCATGAAGCTATTTTGAATGTTCTGTCAAGAAGCATTTGGATTTTCATTAAAAATGTTGATAATATAAACAAGGGCTTAAGGTGTTTTATGGCAGTAAAAAAAACACTTTTAATTGCGTTTATTTAATAAATCATAAAAGCGAATTCTGAAGAAACAAAATGTAAGATCTCACATTGACCAACGGAGAAGGGATGATGTGTCTTATATGTACATACCTACCTCCTCCATATAGCACGAGTCTTTTTAGGAACTCACAGACTTCGGATTCCATCGGAACTCCGAAGTTAAGCGAGTTCGGATGAGAGCAATCCTAGGATGGGTGATCCACTGAGAAGTTCTCGTTTGAGTTCTCAGAAACAAAACTTTCAAGTAACTTTTTTTTCAAGAAGCACTTTTGCTTCCTACAAAAGCAATCATAAACAGGCCTTTAAGTAATGCACAAGCAATTCTAGGATCAATCGTGTACACACTTGGTCTAATCATCCCTGCACATGTGTGCGACAGTTCCTAACACTCCTCTTCCAATCAAATCAAACAAGGCATATGCAACTCTAAATCATGCTGACTTTCATACCACTTGAAAAGATGAATACAAAGCTTCTAAATCATGCCGGATTAGCAAAGGAACGATGGCAACCAATACAACAATGTAATCTGAATGTTGGTCTTTGCTAGGCAATGTAATACATTGGGTTTGGAAGTTTAAACGATCGTTGAGCAATAGCAAAACCTATCAAATCACTCCATTGATCTCCCGAGCTCCCGTGAATTCGATAACCTTCATTTATCAAGTCCGATCTCTTCTGGGATTTGTAGACCGTGGCCGGTGTTCCTTGATCAGAAGGTCCTCCGTATCGTTAACCAAACATATCAGCAATCCTTACTGCGGAGTTACGAAGAAATAGAAGGAAAGAGGAAAAGGAAAGAAGGAAACTTAGCCCCCATTGTACCTCAGTAGCAGCCTCTCCCAATTGTTGTAACCTGCATATAGAAGGTTTCTCGCGGTGGCGTTTCTCTGATGTTCGCTCCGCCCAGTTAACAGAAACATCTTGAAACCCAACTGCTCAAGCTCTTTGTAAAGATTTAAACTTGCTGGGAGAGCAGGGGCCTCAGCCAAATCCACCCACTCATCGAAAAATGCTTCATTGAAGGTCTCCGATCTGTGTCCAAAAGAATGTAGACCTTGTCAAATTTCATCTTACGAAACACTTATTCAATTAAGACAGCTAAAAACATTGATGTAATCTAGTAATCCTGGATAACTAACTCTGGTTGAAGAACATAAAAACCAGACCAAAACCAGGTAAGAGTATCTGTCGGGAAATCGAGCAATACGTTTTCACAGTGTAACTCTCAGTGATGAGATGAATGTTTGAGGACTGGAAGGCAATGAACAATATGCTGATTGTGCAATCCACCCATATTTCAGCTATAAGTTCCTTTCCCCGTAAGTAAATTAGAAAAAACACCCCGACAACAAGTTTTACAAGGTTTATACGACTCATCTATCCACTTGTCACTCTAATTGAATCTTAGTTGTGAAATTCCTTGCCTTTCCTTCGTTACCAAGTTAGTTGGGTTTTCTTTTCCTAGTATTGGATTTGAAGTGTTTTTCTCTAAATAATGTGACCAAACGCTTACATGTGAAAAGCGGCAAAGCCCTTCTTTTTTCCACAGCAAACTGCATTTACTAGCGTAAGTTATTCAAGTCCAGGGAACATTTCTCCTTCTCACATCTACAAGACTACAACTACAGGTGAGACAGCTGAGACAACTGAGAGTTCACTCTGGCACGAACTAAAAGGGTATATGCAGCTTCATCTTTTACATGCATTGGTCACAAGTTAACAAACCAAATGACCAACAAATAAACCAACCAAAAACAAGGCTACAGAAATGTGTCCTCGATAAAGTAGAAAATCAGTTGTGTAGTCGGGTATTTCCTTGCGTTAGCCTCACTTATCTAGTGACCTCAACGTTGTAAACGTAAGAGGATATCTCTGCAATTATAAGGCATATTCTCTCATAATAAAGGCTCTCTTATACGTGTTTTTTCACATGTTTAGACATGACTCAAACCCTCGTGTACAGAATACTTATCACATGACACAAGAGAATATATTCGCGGTCGTGTGACATATCCTTTCCTAATAAAGACTCTTGTGCGTGTTTGTTCACATGCTTAGGCATGACTCAAACTCTCATGTACATAGCTGCACTTATCACCTGACACATGATAATATATCTGCAATCATGTGACATATTTGCTCATAATAAAGGCTCTCTTATGCGTGTGTTTTCACATGCTTAAATATGACTCAAATTCTCATGTGCGAAGCATTTATTACATGACAAAAAAAAGATATACCGGTAGTCGTGTAACACATTAAGCTCTCTTGTGCATGTTTGTTTACATGCTTAACGCATGACTATAAAACTAACTGATACGACTCTAAACTATTGAACTTCGATTATGACTAGCGGAACCATCTATTATTTTGTTATTACTATCCATTAGGCCCGTCTACACTTCAAACTCTACTATCATTAAATATATTTAAACTCTTTTTCTAATATAAATATAACTATGAATGAAGATATGAATCTACTTCGATTTCGTTTCCATTTTCTGCATTTACTTTCTTACCATTTCTCTTTCATCATGTCAGATCCTATCACCAACAAATTCAACTTTCACCATCAATTCCAATTATTCCATATATTTATACTATAAGGGTGCTGCACCCTAGCATGCATCACACAGCACACTATCATATCCACCTTACGTGGCAGCCTCTGATTGACTAATCACACCTGCCAATGACGCATCAATCACATGTATATGCCACAGCAACCCCCACAAGGCATACGTTTCCTGGTTTCCAACCCCACAGCAATTTAATTTGCAGTAAAAAATCAAACCAATCATAACGGACGGCTGTGATCGATTGGAGCTTACCCGAATCCATGGGCCTGATAGTAGGCCAAATTGGAAAGCAGAGTCTCGTCGATGTCGAACACCCACGCGTCCTTCCCATCGCCGCCTATCGTCACCCCCTTGGCGAAGCTCAGCGAGTAATTCGCGACGGACGCCAAGTCGGACCGGTACCGGTCGCCGGTCATGTAGTCCTGGACGAATCGGATGCACCTGGACGGAATGTTGGACCAGGTTCCGGCGTCGTTGGTCTCGATGGAGAATCTCCAGCTGTCGCAGTAGAGGCTGTCGTCGGAGGCGGCGAAGCGGTGTCGTTTCCTAGGCATTTGGATGACGGATTGGGATGATAAGGAGGCGGGAATTGCGAGGAGGGTGATGAGGAGGAGGAGGCGGTGGCGGACGGAGGCCATTGATGAACCCAGAAAGATCTTTGCGGGAATCGGAAAGAGCTTTCTGGTTTCGGATTGAAAATCGAGATGGAGGGTGGAGGAGAGAATCCGAGGGAGCTTTTTTTTTTTTGGATTTTGTTCTGTTTATTAACGTACAAATTTTGCCGCAAAAAGTTCAAATTTTACCGCATTTTCGTTTGATTTTTATTTTTTGGGTAAATAATTATAATTTCGAAAAAAAAAACTAAATTAAATTTGCTACTACATCAATTTTGGAAAATCTTATCAGAACAATTAATTTTAGTTTTATCACAAAAAAAAGGAGTTTTAACGAAAAGTCTGCTCACTTTAACGAAAAATCACATTTTTACACTAAAAATTCAATCCTTATACTATTCACTTGATCATTTATTTTGTTCTTATAGTTAAAACTTAAAATTTTCAAACTATTTTTATTAGTTTTCTTATAAAAAAAATCAATTTTAGAAAATAAATCACATCAACGGGTTTAATGGATTTAACAAAAACCCCATCAAATTTTAAGATATTTACAAACAATATTACTTGTATATCGAATCATTAACTTACTCACAACACTATCTAATAGATCATAACTTAGTATACGTCACTCCTATTCATGTGAGTCACATATGAAATCTCCCTTAAATGAATAGAGATTGCATGCCTTGAGAGCAACACATACACGCGAAATAGTTTTCCTTTTTATTTAGATAATATGTTTTTTTTTGTGTGGCCACCTAATTGGATAATCAGATGATAATCTTAGAAAAAGGATCGGTCAATAAATTCGCCATTACAATCTACTATTTTAAGAGCTGGGAAGACTTACAGATAACAATTTGTAAGTTTCTTGTATACAGATGATAGAATAAATGATGTAATATTACCAAGGTGTAACCAAGTTACCAACGCGAAAACCACCGGCACAATCAAACCAGAAAAATCATAATCAAAGAATTGGAGAAAATATAATCAGAATCAAAGAATGTGGAGAAAAAAGGAAATTAAAAATAAAAAAATTATACATATTCAGTGCTCAAACCAACAATTCCTCACAAACTGAGCAAAAACTATTTGGTTGTCACAGCGGCAGAGAGGATAAATTAGTAAGAAAATTAAGGATTTAAACCAGTTTTAATTAGGAGAAGCAATTCTGTTCGTCATGGCAGAGCTCCTTTCGGAGTTTATGCGAAAACAGCCGGCAAGCGTCCATGCTAAGATCAATGGCGGCAGAAAGCGCGACGAAAAGAGCAGCATCAGCCATGCAAGTAACATGCTGCACTCCTACTTGTACCACAGGCTTGCTAACTTTCCCTTCGCCTTCCACGGTTGAACCCGTCACGAAACCTTTCACCGGTGACCTCGAATTCAAACCCGAATCTCTATTTAACCTACTGTCAATGCAAAACTCTCCGCCCTTCTTGACGCTCATTGTGCCTTCGGCAATGGTAATGCTGCTGCTAGGCCCGTTGTCAGTGACAAGCTCAAACTTGTACCCCAAGCCATCAATAGGCCCTCTCTCGCGCCATGCCTCAAGACGGCCCCATGGCTTCCAGCTGCTGATTGAGAAGCCATGGGGTCGGAGGATGAGCCATGCTCCAGGGTTTGACCTGGACACACGGTCAGTACCGGGGGAGGCTACAAAGGGAGTGATCATGGAAGCGGCCGCCACAGGCGAGCCGGAAAGGTCGTGAATTGTTATCATCCACCCCTTTCTTTCCCTCCCTGGCCTTTCTCTATCAGCAGACGGTGTTCTCATCCATCCTCTGTTAATGGTGGTAAAATCTGATTGAAGAGATCTGCAGATTACACACAAAATCAATAACTAATTAATCATTACGATCGTATTAATTTAATTAATCTTAAACAGTATGGAGTTGTCAAACAGGAATATAAATCTGAGAATAAATATATTTCCACATGGGAGGGAAGTAGTTGACATTTTCTGTTTGATTAGATATGCAATGCAACTACCAATAATTATTCAAAGTTCTTATCATTTCTAAAAAAAAAAACTTTCAAGATTGATCCTTTTGAAACCAAACAACCAATTTATACAGACTTGACTGCAATACATTCTTGTACGTTGTACAACCAACGATTAACGGTCATATATGTTGTAACGACATTTAACGACCACATCTGACCGCCAATGGATGATGTATTGAGTACTTTAATGTTTCTTAGCTAGTCTCGGAATTCAGTTCTCTTATCTGAAGTATATGATTGAACAAGAACAACTAATATATTCAAAAACAACAACAAAGCCTTTTAGTATTAAGTGGAATCGGATGTATAAATCTTAATACACCACTGCTCTTGATTTTGCTCACTGGCTTTCTAGGCAACATATGCACGGACATGATGTTTTAGCCAAAAATACTTAAAACTCCGTTTTAATAAAATTAAAAATTAAAAAATTAAAACCACTTGAGCCATTGTTATTGCACTCGACTATTATTCCATTATTACATGTTTTGAGTTTTTTTTTTTTTCCGGACTGTTTGATTTTTAGGTGTTTTTGGTTAATGTTATCAGGACGATTAGCCCAATTCAGTAGAAAAGAAGTAATTCATCAAAGAAAGCACATGGAGAGGCACTAACTAGCAAGCCTAGCATGAACAAGAAACGTAATATTCCAAAAAATAAACCAATGGGCATGTGATTCTTGGACACCAGCTAAGATACTGCCACTCCAAAATGCCTAATCCAAAACGCAAAACGTGAAAGACGTCACAGATAAAATAAAAAAGAGTAGTATTATCCGCACAACCATTTTTACTTTTCAGACATATTTTTAAAAAAAAATTCATACACCTCTCTTATATTTTAACCATCGAATCAAATGAATTAAAGACGATCACTGATAAAAAAATTAATAAGGATGTATCAGAAATAAAATGTTATGAATAACATTATCCAAAATGTAACTCACCCAAAAAAAAAAAAACACTAGAAAAAGAAAAAAGTTAATAATTTACACGTTCAAGTTCACCACCACTTCAGGCACACGTTAGCTAAAGTCAATTACTCAGGACTATAGTGCGCCAGAACCGCAAGTAAAAGAAAACTCACCGGTTTCTCGAGTTACGGTCCGCACTGAACTTGCAGCTAAAAACGGGCTGCCGTATGTCCCGCCCCTGAATCTGGAAAACCACGGGGCTGCACTCCGGCTCACCTCCGAACTGGAAAACGAACCGGGGGTCTGGTTCAGCTCGGACCGTCAAGTGCAGCCTGGCGGAGGGCTTGTCGTGGTCCTTCCCTAACTTCATCCACCCACTGTGGATCACGGTCGGGTGGGCCCTAGCAGAGTCCAGGTCAATGCTGAGTTGGACTCGGCCTAGCAGCTTCCCACTGGTGACGCCGCATGTCTGGCCCATCCGACCAGTATAAACTGAGACCCGAAGCGCGACGGGCTTCCCGGCAAGCCTCCGGAGCAGGGTGGGGTCCACGTGGAAGCCGGGAGCCGAGGTGAAGGAGTCGGGCGGGGAGTCGCCGGCAGAAGTGGAGAGGTTGAGAAGGGCGGTTTGGGGAGGGAAGTTTTTGATCTTCAGCTGGCAGAAGCAGGGGGTGGTGGAGGAGTGGACTCCCGGACCGGCTGGTCTGGTGGCGTGGGGGAGCTTGAGAGCCAGAGCGTCGACATTGAGACGTACGAAGGGGCATGGATCCATTGAGTTTTTGAGAAGTGGGAGTGGAGGAGGAGGAGGAGACAGCTTTTTGGAGTGAGGGGACTGAAAATGGAGGTTGTGTTTTTGGGATTATATTTGCTTGCATGTTACCATTTTTAGCGTTTCACTTTTTTGTTTCCATTTTTTCTTTATGTTTTTATTGTGGAGTGGATATTCTCTGTATTTTATTGTCGCCAGGTGAGATTGTATTTTGGTGTGTCATTTTTTCATTTAATTATATTTTCTACTACAATTGGTGGACTATTTTGCTTCCTAAAAGCGTTTGTGATTTTAGCAAGTTACTTTTATATGTATATAAGATTGTAATTTGTATGAATCGGGAAAAATGACATATTTCTTTGAATAGAGAAGTCGTGAATCCGGAAAATGAAAGGAAGAACATGGTGCGATCAATATTTCCTACGCGTTAATAAACGTTTAGAAAATCATAAGTCAAAATAATCTCATGTTTTAGTAAACGCAAAAAAATCATAATTTAAGCATATTCGAAAAAACAAGAATCGATATGAAAAGGGGGTGAAATGTGAATTTCACCTTATATCAGCGAAATAGAAGAAAATAAATGAATGTCGACAATATTTATCGATTTACTACAAAAATTTTGTTGCAACTCATTGCAAATTTCGAGCTTTTGAAATTAAAAAAATAAATGTTTCTCTAATTTTGACTAAATCTAAATGAGTTGACATACTCATCAATATCAATATTAATACATCTATTGATATTTTTATAAATTACATATTGATGTTTTTACCTGTATCGATATTTTACACAGTATATTAATCAAACAAATGAGTTTTCCAAAAAAAAAATCAAACAATTGATTATACAATTTGGATTAACATTGTGATAATTGGAGTTGAGTTGGCAATTGACTCAAGAGTCAAGACTTAGAAAGTGATATGAAAAGGAAAAAAAAAGGGATGGGGCAAAGGATAAAACGCAAAGGACCAAGAAAAGGAAAATGAAGTGGATCCCACAAGTGTGTCAAGTGGGGTCAGAGCACAGCTTGGCAAAGGCTGTCACCACGTTCTCTTTCAAAAGCCTGGACGGAAAGGGATTCTTTCCGAATCCATTCCATCAAGTCTTCATCGTTAATTAATTCGGATTTTTAAAATTTGATCTAACTGTTATAAACAGATATTCATTTTAAAAGTTATAATAATTGTAACCGTTGGATTAAATTTCAAAGGCCTAGATTGTTTGGAGAGATTTTTAGTATGACCGTCACACGAAATGGTACATCACGTGTCCTTATATAAATAATGGGTTATATGTGTTAGAAGATTAATAACTTAAAAATTAAAATTTTTCATTACTTACATAAAAACACGTAATGTACTATCTGTATTTCCGTCATAATTAAAAATTTCTCAAATTGTTTGAAGGAGAGGACTTGGTTAAAGGATCCCTTTCCAGCCTGGACTACCTGGATTGGATTTGACTGTTGTGTGACCATTTGTCTATGCAAAACGACTTATAACCACTCGCCGGAAATAAAAGAAAGCACTAGAAGCTCCCCACGTGGCTTTTCGTTTTTGTTGGCGCCGTCTAATCGGCGTTCAGGACAGTTGTTTTTAATTGGACCAATTTTCATAACACAGATATACCGTTATTGACAAATTCCGTGTAAATATTTTCATTGCCAACTTGATTAAGCAAAACATGACAAATGATTCATATTTTTAGAGGAAAAATTTTTGTTGCTGATTATTTGGCTAGCTTGAGCTATAATATGAATTTGGGGTTTGCAGATTTCATGATCCTCCTATGTGGATTCGAATAGTGTTGATGGATGATTGCTCAGGGATCTTCAAAACTCGTTTTGTTTGTTTTGATGTTGTTTTTTAGTTTTGTTTGAAGTTTTTAACCCCCTTATTTAACTCAAAATGAAACTCGTACACAATACAATATAGTGTCAATATTCTCGTGCTATGAAAGTACATCCATCTTCGACCGCATTAACATTATTAACCTTTCATTGGGTGTTGAATTATTTGCTCCTATGACATATTAAGTATGATGACAAGTGACAACTAAACGTCATGAATATTCATCTCATATTTTCAACTATTTCCCTCCCTTTATTTTCTGCTTACTTGTCATTAGATAAGTCATAGGAGCAAAAAAATTTGTTCAGAAACCTGTTTATATCTCATGAAAAGAGTAACTTAAGCCAACAAGACTCTTTTTTATGCGGAACGCAATCTTAAGCCTATATCTCATGAATTAAGCATATTTTTTTTATTAAATTCAAAGACAATTTGAAGAAAAACAAAATGCCCCAACTTAGCAATATGCGAACAAGTGAACAAAAGATTGGTGTGAATTCATAACAAAAATTCTAATTGGTCCACAAAATTAAATGGTCAACACAACTAAGTCTTATTCAAGGTGCATGCATGGCCCCAAGAAAAGAAATTTAATTTCTCGAGTGTCAATATTAATTAAATGTCATATGCAATGTTTTTTTTGGGTGCATTTTGGAATGTTTTTCTTTTAATCCATTTTGTCACTAGTGGGGGAGGTTACTTGATTTTATTTTGTTTTTTAAAAGAGAGAAAATTATTGAAATTTGAAATGATGAGTTAGTATAGTTTAGGCGAGCAAGATAACACATCAACACTTGATAATCAGCTTCAAATTTTCAAGCTACTATTTTATTGTGAAGAGCGATAAGGCACAACACGATGGAAAATTCTCTAATCCCACTAATACTCTTTAAAAGTGCTTTTACAATGAATAGAGGTGTTGTCGGATAGCGAAAAGCGTTTTTTGACAATTTTTTAAGAAGGACAAGGATTGTCTGCCCTCCACTTCCGGTGTCCTTCCCGTACCCTTCTGTTTTGTGTTGTCACGGTTAAGCCACGTCAACATTTTATATTATTTTTTTATAGATACAATAAGACAAAAATGAATAGTAATATAAAATGTTGACGTAATTTAACCGTGACCACACAAACAGGAGGGCACAGGAAGGGCACCGGAAGTAGAGAGCAGACAATCCTTGTCCTTTTAAGAAATACTTCAATGTACTTTTTCTTTCCAAAAAGTATTTCCCACAAAAATGTTTATGAACAACAAAAATACTTTTTAGAGAAGCATTTTCAAACCGCAAAACGATAGAAATAAGACAGGTAATTAACTTGATTAACTAGTTGATTAATTAAACCTTCATGATTTTTTATCGTAATTAACTTTATCTAATTCGTCACCGGTGGGTACACGTATTGATTTGTGGGGAGCAAGCGTGTATGTATACAACATTTGATTGTTTGGCAATGTCTCGTTCAAACCATGATGCTTGTTGCATCGCTACGCTTCCAATGTTTCACTCCTATAAAGCCATATAATAATTGTTTCTCATCTTATTTGTCTTCACGATGATAAGGGCGTCGGAAGATAGCTTATATGGTAAAAAATTTAGGATTTAAAGTCATGTGATGAAGTTCGTTAGGATTTAGGTTCAAAATTAAAAAATTTGTCAACTCTACATTAATTGTTAGCACGTGAGTTACATATATGAGAATAAAATGGAGAGTGGACGAAATTTTATATTTTTAGCCTCATATGTGATGCTTATAAGCTAACAATTAATAGAGAGTTAACAAAACTTTTAATTTTAGTCCTATATCCTAACAGATTTCATCACATGATTTTAAATTTTAATTTTTTTAATACAAAGCTATCTTCCGACTACCCTATCATTGCGGAGCTTATTAATCCAATTAAACCTAACCCTTAATCCCGCATCCTTAATTAATTATTAGCCAAAAGTAATAGGCTAATAGCAACAACAATATTTGACAATACAGTACCATTCTGTCGGCTGGCTTTGCTTTATGTTGCCGGGACAAGAAGCATCATGGGGCTTGTGAGTTTACAAACTTAATTTCAAGCACTTATTAAGAACTGATGTAATTAATCCGTCCGTAGCAACGCGAGTCTTTCCTCTTTAATGTGAAGGCACACTAGAACCAAATCCTCTTTATATTTAAGCGTGAAACTAAACAAAAGTCGATCTCTCATGATCATGAGGACGAGAGTAAATTCTTTACTATCAAAGCTTTTGGCGTTGTCATTAGGAAACCACTATCACGTGAATCATAATTTTCACACCCCTGTTTACCTGTTTTGCATTCATTCCTTTGTTTCTAGTTTTGGAATTAAATAAATTAAAAGAAAATCAAGAGACAAAAACAAGATGACAAGATGATATGAAAAACATAAAACGGCTAGTGTTATCCATACACTCATTTTTACTTCTCAAATCTCCCTTAATTTTCTGTTATCCAATCGAATGAATTGAAGAAAATTAGTGACCAACAATTAACAATGGTGTGTGAAAAATAAAAATTAAGTGTGATAATCACCATCCATAAAAAGTGCATACGAAGAAACTGAGAGTGCGAAAGAAGAAACCGGATGCGAAAATCACATGCCTTAGCTAGCTAGTATTGAACGTGTAGTGCATGAACGTAGCACACAGCGTATGGTGCATCCATTTCGTTCTAGTTTTGCCCCTTTGGTCTTTTTACAAAACCAACTCAGGCGACTTTTCCTTATAACATTTATAGGCAAGCATTTGAGTAAAGCAGCATGGTGTTGCTGGTGAAGATATCAATTAATATACAAGAAGTTGACAGCAGCAGCAGACAGGTCATTCGGGCACACTGTATAATCTCCTATGAAGATTGGGTAGGTTTGGTTTGGTCCACCAGGACCATAGTTGGTGCAGTGATGATATTCTTCTAAATCAAACCATAAATTATGGAAATTTAAGACTAACTAATTCTTAATCATGCATTAGGACCCTCTAGAACCCACTGCATAATGATCAGTTGGGTGAAACGTATGATGAAGAGATGTCTGCCTATAAAATGTTTCATGCAACTTTTTCTCTTCTTAGTCAATGGGTTGTAGCTTTAAATGGAATTGTGAAATTAAATCTTATAAGTGGTGGATTTCAAGATCACATCCGGAAAAAAAAAGAAAGGAAACTTCAAAAGTACTTGGTACTACTGTTCATTTTAACGAAAAATTACATTTTTATACTAAAAAGTCAATCATGGTACTATTCACTTAACCGTTTATTTTGTCTTTATCGTTAAAACTCAAAGTTTTCAAGCCCTTTACATTGGGTTTCCTAAAAAACAATTACTTTGCATGTATTTATAAGTACTTGAACTACTCTTTATATTGTCAATTGGTTTTATGTTGACTTTATTCTGTTGGAAAATATTAGTATTTATGTTTATTTTAGTATTTGAGTTTTGTTTGTTAGTTAGTTTATGAGCCTAGCCCATCCGAATTAGGGTTTTTAGGTTTTGCTCTCTATAAATATAGCTTATAGTTTAGCATGAATAACAAGCTAGTCACAATGTAGTCTCTTAGAGTTTTGCAGTCGTTCTGGCATTCTCGTTTGTTTAATAATATTCTTATTATTTTGTTACTATTGTTCGTTGCGCACTCTGATATTCAACTTATTAATAGTATCAGATCAAGTTGGTCTATGTGTGAAGTCCGACGCCTACACGTGCCCCACGTCACCTAATTATATTGTCCACGTGTTAGGCTTGAAATTCACCACACATCAGAGAGTACAATAGTCTAGTCCTGGGCAAATGCATGAAGATGCGCAAAGGTAGACTCGTTCAATGACAAAGGTGGTTAGCTGTACACCCAAACTATGAAAAATCTCTGTACCAGACTGCATTTGCCCACCCGGTTGCCCACCCGGTAGTTGGGAAAGGAAAGTTGGTGTGGGGCTGCATATTATGCGGATGTGAAGGTAAAAAAGTTCAACATCGGTAAAAAATGAAACATTGCAAAGGTTTATAAAAGGTTAGACTACTATTCATATTGTTAATTGGTTTTATAGTGAAGCCACAACTTTCTTCATGATATCAAAGAAAGTTGGCTCACGTGTGAAGCCTAGCGGCAAACGTACTCTACGTCCCCCAATTTGGGTTGTCCACGTGTTTGCTTGAAAATTGATCACACGTGAGGGGCGTGTGAGGATGTGAAGGTAAAAGATTCACACATCGGTGTAAAGAGATACCTTGCAAGAACTAACGTTGGACTATTCTCCATGTTATCAATTAGTTTTATAATGGAACCCCAACGTTCTTCACATATATCCTTTTTCTACCCAAAACTAGTGGCCATATTTAGCTTTTCTCTTCCATTTCAACCCCATTTCACCAAAATTCACCGACTTTGTCCAAATTTCTTCATCTCAACTTTCTTCCTTAGTCGCGCTGACGCCACAATTGATAAGATCCACTCACAGACAAAGAAATAAATTTAGGCAAGAACTCCAGACCAAGATACATCTTTCCACCAAGGAATTTTCTCTTGAATCTGGCACTAAATCTTATCATGTATATAAAAGAAAATTTAAGCCCATATATATATATATATATATATTTTTTTTTTTTTGGAAAAGAAAATTTAATCCCATATTGGCCAAGAACTCCAGACCAAGATACTCCTAACCTTTGGGTCAGTGACATGTAGGCTCAGTGTCCCAGGTACACCATAGCCAGCTGATAACTTTTGGGTCAATTCCCAGCCCAACTTCAATTCTTAGGGCTCACCCAAACAGCTCACCCAAAAACGTGCGCGAAAGCGATTGCCTTACGGAAGCTTCCGGTTCTGGGTCGCCGTTTTTGTCTCTTCTTCCCTTGCCTTCAAATCGAAGTTATATGATCGAACCGAGCAATTAGGAACTGGAAATCTCAACTGGATCACCGCTCAAATTAGCTTTCTTCAATTGTGGTTCAGCCATGTCTTCTCCTGCCGAGTAATTCCAATACCCTCTTCTTTCTTCTCTCTATTTCGTTCTCAGATTCATAGATTATTATTATATGTTATTTCTGCCATTATACTTGAATTTATGTATTGGGTTTTGATTTTGGTGCTGTTAAATTTTACTAGGTTGCATTTGATGGTGTTTTTGTTTAGCTATGTTTTAGCAGCAATTTGAATCCTAAACTTGAATTCAACCGTGTTGTGTACAACATGATAAACCCTTTTATTTATTTTTTATATTTTTGGGAGAAAAGATGATAAACCCAATTCTTAAATGGCAGTTCTTGAGATGCTAGTGTTGGTTATATTAAATGTTTTAGAGTGTTTGCATTGGTTTCATGGCCCTGAGGACTTTGAGTTGCTGCCCCAAGAAATCGGGTTTTTGTGATTGTGGATTGGACAGATTTGCTGAGTTAGGCATTGTTGTGGGTGTATAACTTCCAGATGAAGTTAGCATAGCAACAAGTGGTTTATTGGATTGATGACAATATAAGGTTTGATTGATATATTGTATGTGATTTTATCTTCATAATGGCTCTGCTCCTGTCCACGCTGATTGAGTACGATCATCCAGCTATCTTGTGCATCTTATTGTTTTCCCTGAAGATACAGTTGCTCCGATCACAAGTTACAACCATATATATTATTTGCTTGTTTCAGATGGTATCAGTCGCTGCCACCCATAAGCAAGGCTTATGGTACCCTCTGTGTAATTGCAACGACAGCCTTTCAACTGGGGCTTTATGATTGGAAAAGTATTGCATTAGTGCATAGACTAGTATTCTCACATTTGCAGGTATGTATCCCATCAGAGAATATAAGATTTGTGCTTAGTTGTTAAGATATCAAATGTGGATTTTGAACTTCACTGTTCTTTGTAGGTTTGGAGGTTGTTTACAAACTTCTTTTTCCTTGGAAGCTTCTCTGTCAACTTTGGAATCCGCCTTCTGATGATGTAAGGAATAGTTCTGTAGTATACCTAGTCAGATGAACTGAAAATAGATCTTTTTCAGTCTATACTTCTGTAAGTAATAGTTCTATAGGATACCTAGTGGTACTTCTCCTTTTAGAAAGCATACAACTTTCCCTTTAATGCAGCATGTTATCTAGTGGGAGACAGATTCGTACTTCTTCAACTACTGGATCAACCGATATTTGAATAATGGAACATAATTATTCATGCACTAATACAAGAATGTTAATTATTGCACAGAGCAAGATATGGAGTTCAACTTGAAAAGGGACCATTTGATCGACGAACAGCAGATTTCTTATGGATGATGATATTTGGAGCCACGACATTATTGGTGCGTCAGTTATCATCATCATACTTTTGCTTTTTAATCTGTTTCTTCAGAAAGGTCAAGTCTGTTTTGCTGCGGTGTCTAGGCTAACTTACAATCACATAAGCTGTCTAGAAATTAAAAGGGAGTTGATTTTTTTTTTTAACTCAAAAGGCCGATTTTACTTCGTTTTCACTCTTCATCCTGTATCCTTTTTATCTTCCTGTTCAGTGTCAATCTACTATTGCAACCTTTCTTTTTGATAGGGAAATATACTATTGAAATTTTTAAACTTAAGGAAGTTGTTGCGCTTGTGATTATGTCTCGTATAGTGTAGCTTGATAGGATTGTGTTGTGATTGAATTGTATGCCAATCATATTTCCTGTTTTCACTACGCCAATCATATTTCCTGTTTTCACCTTTACTCTTGTCTTGAAATTTTAGGTTTTATCTGCTATCCCTATATTTTATTCTCCTTTCTTGGGGATATCTCTCGTGTTCATGCTTGTTTATGTCTGGAGTAGAGAATTTCCAAATGCCAACGTCAACATATATGGTCTCGTGCAACTTAAGGTACGGACATCGGTATACATACAAAGTTTCTCTTGGGTGCTTCTGTTTTGTAATTTATCTGCATCTACTTATTCATAATGTCTGGTGAATGCAATTTCTGTATATTGTGATTGCAGGCGTTTTATCTTCCCTGGGCAATGCTTGCTTTGGACGTCATCTTTGGTTCCCCAATTATGCCAGATCTGCTGGGAATCATTGCCGGACATCTATTTTACTTCTTGACTGTGTTGCATCCATTGGCAGGTGGAAAGAACATATTACAGACTCCAAGATGGGTGTATCCTTACTCGATTCATTTAGTTTTTTTAAGTTGCAAAGTAATTCATGCAAGATCTAAGCTATCATATTACTATTCATTCTCCTTCACATATCATCTGTTTGAACTTTAGTTTCTTCCGTGCTTGCCTACTGCATTCTACTTGTAGCTCATTGCACTCAAGTTTTAGTTTCGTATTTGGATCACCACATTAGCATACCTAAATAAATGTAGTTCATCCATGGTCTACGTATCATAATCGTCCGCTTTTTGCAGTATGGTTGTCACTCTTTTCTGGTCATTGCCATGCTTTAGTGCTACTTGGTAGTGATTGATTTATCACTCGTCAATTAATCGTACTCACTTGAAGGTAGTTTGTCCATAAAGATTTCCTTAACTGTTACTGAACAGACGTAAAATAGTCGCAAGATGGAGGATAGGAGCTCCTCCACCAACTAGCAGAACCCAACCACCTCCCCCAGCTGCTGCTGGTGTGTCTTTCAGAGGGAGGTCTTATCGACTTAGTGAGTGATTGTGATCTGCAAAGGGGATGAGATTTTTCCAATCATTTCAACTTTCTCACTTTTGTGGAGGCCGAAACTAACAAGCAGAAAGGAAGCAATTTAATCATAGGGCCCTAATTGTTGCAAATGTAGAAACAAATTCCTTCCCCATTGAGGATACATTTTCGTAGTTTGTTGAACTCATGAAGTTGTGTGTAAGTTACTATGAATGCCAATGATGCAGAGAAATTTTTTTACTAATTTTTCGTTCTTGGTGCACCATATGTTTGAATTTAAATACGATAGCTCAAAATTTTGTTACCAATTGATCCAACAGATGATGTATGATAATCAAATTGTCAACCAGAATTAGAAATTCTTGGTGTAAGACGTTCTTTTCTTCATTACAGAATAGACAGGATACTGTCGAAAATGCATAGTATGTTCATACATTCCATTGGCTTACAATGACAATTACGTGTTTTCTATATTTCAGAGTCGGACTACAACATTAAACAACTTGTAGTTCTTTGTTATACAATTTTTTTGGATAGTTTGGAGATTTGAGAGAAAAAGAAAGGGAATTGGCATTTCTGTTGGCAATTTCAGACTGGATTTGAGAGCAAAAGTGTGATGGATGGATTTGGAGAGAAATTGAGATTTGGGAGAAACAGCAATATTTCTCCAACAGAAACAGAGGAAAATGGTCAAAGTGGAGCAAAGACCAAGGATAAAGCGACACGTGGCAGCATGGAATATGAAGGATTGAGAGAGAAGGGAGGTGAGCCATCAGATGAGATCCATGTTTCTCTCCCCCCACATTTCTCTCCCCTCCCTCTGTTTATAATTTGCTTTCTCAAACTAACCCCAATGGAGTGACCAAACCACAACATTAATAACTCCACCAAACAGACAAATCACTTCTTCCTTCAGAAAACAATCCTCACAGCTACCCGTATAACAACAAAGAACAGCACCACAAGGAACACAGAAGACAGACTCTTGCATTACAAGATCGAGGTAATCGAAAATGTCGTGGCAGACCTACGTGGACGACCACTTGATGTGTGACATTGACGGCCAGGGACAGCATCTCACTGCCGCTGCCATCATCGGTCTTGATGGAAGCGTCTGGGCCAAGAGCTCTTCCTTCCCTCAGGTCCAACCCTACCCCGCTCCACCTTTCACCATTTGCATGCTTCCCTTTGTGCTTTCTTTTCGGACTTGTGTTTCTGGATAATACTTGGTCGCACTGTACACAGAAACGATCTTGAAGCTTCAATCGTCATGATTACTATTCTCGTTCACAATCTGACAACACAGTATATTAACATCGTCTTCGTTGTATGTATTTGGTGTTCAATATAATTGCACTACATGCTTTACTTCATCTTATCCATATATTCAAAATATCATTGGATAGTGGTTTCTTAGAGAAATATGTTGCCAAACAATATATGGTTATATTGGCATATTGAGAATCGAAACACACATTCAAGCATAAATCGTCGTGATTATACTACATGTTCATAGTTTGACGCCATAATATACTTATATTGCCGTCTTTATTGTATGTTGGTTGGTGTTCAATGTAGCTGTTTCCATGCAGCATTGTGAATCTGTGGTTGATCTCTTTCACACAGAAATGCATGTGCTTGTGGATTTACTTAGGGAACATTATATATCAATCTTTACTTGCAGTTTAAGCCAGAGGAGATGACTGGTATCAACAAGGATTTCGATGAACCGGGTCACCTTGCTCCAACTGGCTTGCACCTTGGAGGCACAAAGTACATGGTAATCCAGGGAGAGCCTGGCGCTGTCATTCGTGGCAAGAAGGTACGATCCTCTCATATTGTCGATAATGTATCAATAACATGTCATTACGTTTTGTTTGCTCAATGATATTGATGCATTATCGGTTTCATATCAACAATTTGTTCTTTTGTCCGTTCCATATAGTCGGACTACACATATTCATTGCACAAGTTTTAGACTAAGATATTCTTCGTACTTTGGTTTCGCAGGGCTCTGGAGGAATCACCATAAAGAAAACTGGGCAAGCTCTAGTATTCGGAATCTACGAGGAACCAGTGACTCCAGGGCAGTGCAACATGGTGGTTGAGAGGTTGGGTGATTACCTCGTTGATCAGGGCCTGTAGGCTAATTAATATTATACCATGTTCATCATCTCCTAGTATTTCAATTTTGGATTTTATTTTTATTTTTCTATTATTTTTGTTTCGGGGTTTTGGTTCCCAGTCTGCATCTCCTTCATCCAAAACCCTAAAAACTGGTGGTGAAGTTGGTGCAGACAATAACCATGTGACAAGGACTAAAAGCTGTTGTTTGGTGTTTGAAATTGTTTAAATTGCATAAACTCTATTTTCATGATATATTTTTTGATCCTTTTATTCTCTCCCTATATATTTTCCTTAATTTCTTGTAGTTTTTCTTAAAGAATCTCTTTGCCTGGCAAAAGCTTGCCAGCACATATGAGAATGTGCTCTACACGTTTAGTACAATAATTAATCATAAAACTACTTGCATATAAAGAATGACGTGTCCACGGGACGAGAGAAACTTATCAACAACAGAAATATCACTTTAGCGATATTTTAAGTCAATAAGACATGTTAATCATATTAACTTTTTCATACGACAATGCATAATAGACTTAAGATATTGCAGATGTGATATCTCGGTTACATCAAAGTTCTTTCTTAATCATTGATACACTTGTAAGCCACATTGCTAGGTGGCAACCATTGATCTTCAAAGAAGACATCCTCCCATTTTGGTGTTTGATTAATGGTTTTGCTGGCAAGGGAATACCTGTCATCTTTTTTGTTTTAATGGTGGGGAAAATCCACGATCATGGATTGCCATTTTTTTTTTAAGAAATAAGAGGGCCTCAGAATTGTAAGTTGCTGCATGTCCTCACATATCATAGGGAATATCTCCAAATAAAAAAAAAGAAAAAGGACTTCTTTGGGAAAGTGATAGGACAGAAATCTAAGTTAACTGTTAGGGTTGAGAAAAAAAAAAAGATCCAGGTCGACTCGGAGAGATCTAAGAGGTGGAAGAGGGTAGTTGTTGAGGAATAAGATTCATTTCGAATTTTTGTGTTGGAAGTTTGATGATTAAGAGATTCGGATTATTTGATAGAGGGAGAAAGAAATTCGGACCGTTTAAGTTTTTGAGTTGTGAGGTGGATTAGTGTGATATATTAATTGGGATAGTAAAATTGAAATTGAGTAGTCCGAATCTCTCAATCCACTGACTCTGGACGCAGAGATTAAGAATGGATCTCAATCCCGCCATTGAAATCTATGAGAGATCAAATGCCAACTCGAAGAAAGTGATGGAGAGTCTAAAGGCAGGTCTGAGGTTTTGTGGAAGTTAGCGATATTTTGGATTTGTGAATTTAACAAATAGTAGTAGTTTAGGCATATAAAATTTTTCCTTAATCAGGCCAAGTGCTTCTCTTGTTTCCCTTTGGAAACACTTCTAAGAGAAAGCGGTGTATGCAAAAAAAATACTCAGTGCTTCCGCTTCTTATCCAAAACACTTTTAAAATGTTTGACAAACAACTATTTTTGAAATGAAAGTGTTTTTATTCTTTAAGAAGCGTTTTTAACTCTCTAGAAATATCATTCAAACGAGTCATAATAATCACACAAATTTCAACCATATGCGTATATTAAACACGTAATATCTCCTAAATATGTGTGTTTTTAGAGGGAAAAATCATTTGATATATCCTGATTCTTTTTTTTTATAAGAAAAAAATATCCGACCAAAAAAAGGTAAAAAAATTCTGAATTTAAAGGGATTCACCCTTCAGACAAAAAAAAAAAAATAAATAAAAAAAAAATATTTAAAAGCAGCGTGCGTTGTTTGAACGCTGGCTGTTGAGCATAGAAGACTGAGGCTTGAAACGAGAACTGAATTTCCTCCGCAGACACCCCAAAACCTCCGATTCAGCAGCAAATCCCACCAGACACACAAAACCTCAGAAAAAACAGCAACAAGATGTCGTGGCAAACGTACGTCGACGACCATCTGATGTGCGAAATCGAAGGCAACCACCTCTCCGCCGCCGCCATCATCGGCCACGACGGCAGCGTCTGGGCCCAGAGTGCCACCTTCCCTCAGGTACCCATCGTTCTTTTCACTCTCTTCTCACAATAACAATTCAAATTTTCAATTTTTATGATCCCATCTTGCTTAAATCTTGGATTTTGGTGGGCGAGTCAGAGTTTGAATCAGTAAACAAATCCATTTCTGCGATCTATGATTTGGGTTTTCATCTGATCGAATCGTTGGATGTTATAATTTGATAAAGATTAGTGCTTGATTATTGATTGATTAGTGTTTTGGATGTTGTTGTTTGGGATAATTAGTTGAAGCCTGAGGAGGTGACTGGCGTTATGAATGACTTCAATGAACCGGGCTCACTTGCTCCGACCGGGTTGTATCTTGGAGGGACCAAATACATGGTCATCCAGGGTGAACCAGGAGTTGTGATTCGAGGAAAGAAGGTAATTTTCATCGCTTAATTTGATTCGTTCGTTCCAACATTTACAATGCCTATGCATTTTGGTTTTTGATTAGAATTCGTGATCCTAAACACTCTAATTTTCATCGCTTCAACTTTTTTTTTTTTTATTGAAAGTTTGTAGCCGGTTCTAATTGTGCGTATTTCCATCTAGTTTCTTGTTTTCATGGTTTTTGATTGGGGTCTGGTCACTTTAATTTCAGGGCCCTGGTGGTGTTACTGTCAAGAAGAGCACAATGGCTTTGCTGATTGGGATTTATGACGAGCCGATGACTCCTGGCCAATGCAACATGGTTGTTGAGAGGCTTGGGGATTATCTCATTGAGCAGGGTCTCTAAATACCTTGGTATGTTGTTTGTTCTTTTACTCGAGAGAAACTTACCTACAACTAGGATGTCGCTACAAGCCAACGAAGCACTTTTGTGTGGAAAAGTTATAATACATGCAGATTCAGTGCCTGACCAGGAGTGCATTTTTGCTTGCCGTCCTTAAGAAAGGGTGATCATTACACCACATTAATCCCCTTTGGATGAGTGTGATTTACTCTGTTTGTTATACAAATCTCAAAATTTAAACTCATCCAACAACACTTAATGTGGTGGTAATGCTCTCAGCTTAAGAGTGGTGAGAAAAAATGTTCTTGTTTGTTTGGCTTGGGATACGATCACGGTGTATCCTAGTTTACGCAAGCTCTTATGCTTTTACTTAGGGAAAATCCTCTCGATTTCTATAGAAGT